AGGTGGCACTTTGCCATTTTCTGCATGACCTGCGCCAGTAATCCTCCTTGATGTTGAGCTTACAGGTAGCTAGAGGCATACTTATACCTTCCTTGTCCGCGAGGAGTGGTAGTATAGTACCTTTCCTAGCTAGCTCATCGGCTTTACAGTTGCCTTCAATGTCCTGGTGGCCTGGGACCCATATTAGGCTAATAAGATACTGTTTAGCCATCTCGTGTAGAGATTTGCGACAGCTTGTTACTGATATCGAATTTGAAGATATCGAGCTGATGGATTTGATTGCTGCCTGACTGTCAATATATATGTTTATATTGCTAGGGCTAGTCTATAGCTTCCTTTATGGCCAGTACCTCAGCTTGAAAAACACAGCAGTGTGTTGGAAGGCTGAAGGATAACTGTATGTTGAGCTGCTCGGAGTAGACCCCTCCGCCTACGTGGTTGTCTAGTTTGGAGCCGTCTGTAAAGAAGGTTATGGTCGCCGGTAGACCGGAGGTGCCATGAACCCATTTCTCCCTTTAAGGGAAGTATATGTTGGAGGGAGTATCCCGTTGTGTTACTGGCACGCAGTAATCTGTTTTTGAAGGGATGGTCCGCTTCCCTTCTAGGATTGAGGCATGGCCGGTGCTCTGAGTAGCCCAGGCAAGGGATTCTCTGAGTCTTATGGCCGTGAGTGTTGCATTTTCCATTCCTTGTCTTTCCAGACATACAAAAGTATAGGTTTGACTATAGATGTGTATAACCATTGAACGATATTTGGGGACATACCCCATTTCAGCCCAATGGATTTCCTGCACGTGTATAGGGCGACTGTTGCCTTCTTAACCCGTGATTGGATATTTAGGTTCTAGTCCAATTTCCTATCCAGTGTCAGTCCTAGGAAATTGGCACTGTGGTTGAAGATCAGATTTACATTATTTAGTCGGGGTGGGACAAGAGAAGGGACTTTGTAATTTATTGTGAAAAGAATCAGTTCCGTTTTATTCGGGTTTACCCCTAGTCCACTCTCCTCTGCCCAGCATGAAAGTATGTTTAGTTTACTAGTCATGAGGTCACAGAGAGTTTGTGGGTATTTTCCCTTGAAAATTACAGCAACGTCATCTGCGTATGCAACTATTTGGCAGCCGCCCCCCTCCACGTCCCACAGCAGTTTGTTTATTGCTATGTTCCATAGTAGGGGTGACAGGACGCCTCCTTGTGGCGTACCTCTGCTGACGAACCTGGAGAGAGTTGACGACTCTAGTGTGAATATCACAGTCCTGCAAGTGAGCAATTGACTGATCAATCCCACCGTACTGGTATCAAGCCCCAGTCCTAGCAGAGCTCCAATTATGGCTGCCGGAGTGACGTTGTTAAAGGCGCCCTCAATGTCGAGGGACGCTATTAGGGTATACTCCTTATGGAGTTGAGATTTCTCTATAGTAGAGACCACAGAGTGAAGGGCAGTATCTGTGGATCTGCCTTTCCTGTAGGCATGTTGGGACTCCGACATAAGCCTGGGGTCAATAGATGCTGTGAGATGGAGACTTATAAGTCGTTCCAGGGTCTTTAGCATGAAAGATGACAGACTGATGGGGCTGAAATCTTTGGCGCTGGTGTGCGATGGCTTCCCAGCTTTGGGTATGAAGGTTATTTTTGACTGGAGCCATGTCGGTGGGATGCGACCAGTCTTCAGAATCTTCCCGAAGATCTCATGTAGCCAGTTTATGGCTGTATTTCCCGCCTTTTGTAGTTGGACTGGGCTTATTTGGTCTGGGCCTGGAGATTTGAACGGCTTGAAGCTGTTCACTGCCTACTTGATGTTACCTTTGTGTATACGAGACATCAAAGATGTGTTCTCTATACAGTTGGTTTCTGCGCACCTCGGTGTCTGCTCGGAGCAGCCATGGAAGTGTGTTTTAAGGAGGATTTCCAGTGACTCTTCACTGGCGACCGACCAAGAGTTGTCATCCTTTTTCAGATAACCTTGTGTGGGTGTGGTTTTTGATAAAACTTTTCTAAGCCTTGCAGCTTCAGTAATTGAATCAATATCCGTGCAGAAATCTCTCCAAGATTTCCTTCTTTCCCGTCTGGTGGCTTTTTTATATTCAGCCAGACTTGATTTGTATTATGACCATTACAGGTCGTTATTTTGCGCTTTCGCTGCATTAAAGAGAGACCTGCAACTTTGTCGAAGGACATTTAGTTGAGGTGTCCACCATGGTGGTTTCTTCTTGTGCACTGGCTTACTGATAGGGCAAGCTGCCTTAAAAGCCTTATTACATGCTGAGGTTAAAATCTATGTCAGATTGCAGAGATGAGCTAAGTTGTCCGGGCCTTTCGGTGGGTTCGGTCAAGTTTGGCTTTGAAAATTTCCGAGTTCGCCTTCTTTTGATTTATGAAGTGAACTGGCTCTGGATGGCTCGCGAGGAGCTCAAATTCTATGTATCTGTGATCAGAGAAGGAGTGGTCATCAGACACTCTCCAACCTATTAGCTGGTCACTCATAGATTGTGAGATGAGGGTCAGATCAATGACCTCTCGTCTATTTTTAATAATGAAAGTGGGTTCATTACCCGTATTGCATACTAAAAGGTTAGTATTAAGAATGAAGGATAAGAGTGACTCACCCCTGGGATTTGTGCCCGTACTCCCCCACTGAGTGTGGTGAGCATTGGCGTCACAGCCTATGATTAAGCCAATGCTATGCTTCTCGCACTCCTGGACGAGGGACCTTGTAGTCTCATCTGGTGGCGGGCCGGCGCTGTCGTAGGCCATATAGACAGACAGTAGCCTTACGAAGCTGACTGGAGCTCCAGGCTTACCGCTGTGTTGTCATCATTGCTAAAATTATGGAGCAGAAAAATATTTAGATGTTTTTTCGCGAGGATGCAGGTGCGTTTTTTACCTTCATTTCCAGCTACTAACAGCTTGTAATTTTTGTTGCCTAGTCCGCAAACCTTTCCTCCAATCACCCAAGGTTCTTGGACTAGTACTATGTTGTCTCCGCCTCCAGCCAGGCGGAGCATCAGAGCAGCAGATGCTGCTTTACTGGTGTGGTTTATCTGCCGAAGTCTCAAGGACATCCGGAGATTCCACCCTCACCACCGTGTTGTTCTTGTCGTCCTCGTCCGACAGGGTGAAATCATCTTCGTCCAACTCGTGACACAAAGCCTCAAGGCCCCGAGTCAGAGTCGACGTGTCCGACGTATAACCTGGCTCCAGCTCCTCATCGGTTGCTCCGATCTCCACAGGAGGACCCTGTTCAGTCGTCTTGTTACAGACAACAGGGTCTCCTCCGGCCGGCGCATCCGATTTATATACCTTAACGGTAATGGAGCCGAAGACGAAGTTTAGCTCGCCCTTGGCGGCTTCAATGGGGCCAGCGATTCCTTGTTTAGGATTAGCACAGCCTGACTTGTTGGCCCCTCGGTGGTTTCAATCTTCACCACCCTCCAGTTATGGGTGGGAAGAGAGGGGTTGCATAGTTGCAAAAGGTTAATCACCTGGTTCGGTTCCTTTAAGGAGGCCGGGATCCAGATGCGTGCACGACATCTACTCGGGACTTCGCTCCAGTCGACAGCGATCAGCTTCGCCCCGGGGTAGACCTCACCAAGCTCTGCTACGGCAGCTTTGTAAAGCTCTACCGAGCGAGCGTCCTGGCAGGCGATGATCTTCGTGTTTCCCTGGTACCACCCAGCATCTCTGCATATCGGTGGTGGCCCAGGCGGCTTGCTCAGTAGCTTCAGGCAGTGGACAGCGAGAGCTCCTTCCACCCACTTCCACTGATTCCTCGGGATTCTTCCGTCCTTGTTTCCCTTGTCAAGGATCCCTATCAGGTTTCTCTCCTTGGCAATGTCAGCAAAGGACCTTCCCTGCTGCACCTTGGCCCGCTTTGCAACGGGTCCGTGGGCTTCTTGCAAGCGCTGCCATTTTGCCTGGCTCTGCTCTTTATGGGGTGGAGCCTCACAGAAGTTTGGCAGCACCTTCCTAGCCCCACACCACTTTGTTTTGCCATTCGGCTGGTGGATTTGGCTGTGTGTTCGCGTTTTGCCGCTTTAGAATGCTTGCGGCATTTCTGCGGTCGGCATAGCTGAACCTTTTAGCCGCAGCGCTGGTAGTTGATAAATCGCCCTTAGCACCCGCTCCGGCTGGCAGGTTGGGTGCACAAGTGCCTTGCTTTCCTGCCACGGAGTTGGACGGGTCGGGGTTTTTACCAGGTGCACCCTCGCCGCTGGCTTGACAAACAGGCTTTTCCGCCACTTTTGTCATGCTGCCGCTTTGGCCAGGGAGCCACTGCCTCCGCTACATGTCTGGGATTGCTCCCTACCGGTTTTGAGAGAGTACCGGACTCTTTTTGGGGTTTCTTATTTATGGAATGCATTTTGATTCGCACTATCTGCGGAGAAGGGAATGTCCGCCAGCACAGAGATCCGCGATTTGCAGGTAAGGCTGATTAATATAGGAGGTCGCCAGGTATTCGATATGCTCCGTAGAAGACTGGGCTATTTGAGGGTCCCCAGCCTGGATGACTATCGGCACGGGTCGCATAACACCTTAGTCCGGCCCATTACCTCGAACCATGACTCGGTCCTTTCCCAGCGACAAGACTATGGATGCAGTTCGTGTCTGAGGTTCGGGGCTAGCATCGGTACCTGGCAGGACCGCTGTGATGCTATTACCAGTCGGCACCCTCGTGGAGGGTTCAGTTGAGGAATTTTTGCCAACCTCGCTTTAAATTAAAAAGAAGAAACATTTACTTTTCGGGAAAAAAGTATTTTGTTTCATTTTAAATATAAATAATTCCGAAAAAATGTTGCATCGTTCAAGTTATATAGCTAACGAGCTTAATTTAAAATAAGAGATATACATTCATTTAATTGACAGCCTTTCAGCCAACAAGTAGCTGCTTATATTTGTTTAATACATATATATATATATATATATATATATATATATATATATAATATGTTAATATTTATATAGGAGTTCAATTTATATTTATATATTTATACACATATATAAACTAATATAGTATTGAATTGTATTTAATGCATGGACCTATCTATGCATAGCTGCTCATTCCATTCGATTCTTTGATTCCGATTTATCGATTGTCGACTTATCGATTGTCGGTTTAACCCCACTTCTGAAAGAGTCCCATGCGCTGGCATCGACAATTGCTGCCCCACAAATTGCAGCGACAGGAGCTGCTGAAGCAACAATCGCCGGGGCGATTGTCACAGGCCCCATTCCGTCGAATGCAACCCTTCCGATAGGCAGGGACCCAGGACGAGTAGGCGCGACGTCTGTTTGTGGAGTAAGCATTAAGCATTATTATTCTTATTTTATATATTACTTACTTATCATTGCTTGAAGCTGGAAATGTTTTGGAACCATCAAATGTATTTGCAACAATTCCAGAATATTTGTTGTCTAGAAAAACAATTTGCAATTTATGTTTATTTATTATCAATTAATTAAATAAGCAATTGTTAGTTTGTTTTTATTGTATTTTAACTTATTTATTTATTTAATGTAGGCTTTGCATTCTACCAACTGAGAACAGTCCACATTTTTATTATTTATTTTTATATTTTATATACTCCAATATATTTATTTTATGAAAGTTCACAGTTTTTGAAAAGGTTTTCATAATTGAAAATGTGACGAATTAAATTAAATAAAATTAAGAGGAAGAAACTCATTTAAAAATTAAAAATAAAAAAAAAATTTAATTTAAAACAACATAAATAAATCTATCAAATATAAAATTGGTTGTGAAAGCCGGGAAAAAATATATAAAATTAAGTAAATACAATTTCTGGGGATATTTAACACAACAAAAGGTTTGTAACCCAGCTGCTAAATATTTTCTAAAACTATTGGCAAATCAATAATATGCAAATGTATATTTTGTATAAGTTAGAAGATTCTGCTCCTAAAATTGTAGTATTTATTGCTATCGGAAATTGAAATGTATCGATAATCGAGTAACGGAGGAAGATATTGATAAAATAAAGAAAAAACTTGATCTGCGCCTGGTATACGAGAACCTATATTCTAAATTTAAAGTGTCTGGCTCTTATAGTCTCTGAGATCTGCGTGTTCAAACAGACGGACGGGCGGACGGACGGGCGGACGGACGGGCGGACGGACGGACATGGCTATATCGACTCGGCTGTTGACCCGATCAAGAATATAAATACTTTATGGGGTTGGAGATGATTCCTTCTGCCTGTTACATATATTTGCACAATACCATTATAAACTTTGTACCCATTTTTAATGGGTTCAGGGTATAGAAACCAAATTTAATTAAATATAATTTAAATCAAAACTTAACAGTTGAAAACAAATTTAATAGAGTGTGCCACTTCTTCACGTTATATATTTACAATAATTGTACGAACCAAAAAAGACGTTCAACGCAGTCTCCATATTCATATCCTGCATATCCTGCACAGCCGCCATATGTTCACAATCCGGGAGTTCACTACGCCCTCGAATGGCAACCACTTGTTGCAACAAAACAAGCAATAGAATTGTGAAAACCCCTTTAGTTTCGAATATGAAACGCTTTCGAGGCGGAATTAAGTACATTTTGAAAATATACTGATTAAATTTTAAAAACTATTGCAAATTTATTTCAAATTGCGAATTGTGAATTGTGTGTTCAAAAAATAACTCCGGCAAAATTGTGGCTGCCACAGCTCAATACTGACTCAATACTGGGACACGGTCCGAACAATTTTTCTTCTTACACATTTCTCTTTTTATTTTCTTATTTTTTTCATTCAACTCATTTTTACAAACGCGTCTGCGCCGCTAAAAAAAATTACCACATCCCTTTTTGGTGGTTGGATGGGTGACTGGCTGAATCTCCCATTAAAAAATGGTACAATTAAATGGGTATATTAATTCACAGCTAATTTATGAAATGGTCATAAGGAAACCACAAAAAATGGTGCAAAATTATTAATTTCGTATACATAATTAAACATAAGTAATCGTAGTTTCTTTATATTTACAAATCTTCGCAAATTGCTGCATATTTAATATATGAGATTTCTTAAGCCCCGTGCAGCTTAAGTTTATTTCGCTTATCGATATACATATATATCGATGCAATACAATGCATCAAGATCGCATAAGAAATAATCGACAAAATATTCACAAATTTTTCAAACTGATATTTAATATGTAATACATATAACAGCTGGTTGCAGGATATGTGGTAGTCGATCATACTCGCGTAGAACATTCTTACTGTTTCATTTATTAGTAATGTATTTCAATTTCCTTGAATATTGCTGTGTCTTCTTCGCATTTCAAGTCAGCGCACGTCCCATAATAGTTAATGCGGCAAATTGGAAAAAGAGGGAACAAAAACACTTAATCTTCATCAACAATTATCTAAGTAGATATTATGTACTACTGGTGCTATTATTTTTCAATCGCTACTTTTTAGCACATTTCGCTCCAATCGAAAAAAAAAATATATAAATATATATTAAAATGAATTTCATTGGCAATTATTAACTTTAAATTATAGTGTCAAAACTAATGGTTTTTATTTACAGCGTTACCTTACTCGCCACGTTAAAGAGTTGCATTTAAAACGTTGCTCGTTGCTTTACACAATTGTCACTGTACTTTAGTTGCTCGTTTGCTCAATTTGTTGTTGCTCATAAAGCGACGTTAAGACGCCGATTAGTACTGCCGTTTTGGCTTTTTAATGCACAAAACTGTCAGCCCTTAAAAGTTAGTAAAACTGTTAAACAAATAACAAATATATATTAATAAAGATTAATTGCCAATCGCATTAGCATTCGCTCGAACTATTTCCAATACTTTCTTCTTCTTTGTCACCTTGTTAGCAAATTTAACAACAGTAATAATTTTAGCTAAAGGATAAGAAATAATGAATTACCAACTGTAACAATACTAAGCCATGGGTAAATAATTAGTGATTTTTTAAGGATTTTGCTTTAAATAACGTTTATCAGATATTTAAATATTTTATATGTACACCGATCGAGTTATTTTTTATTGATACATAATTTAATTACATGTATTTTATTTCGTTAAGTCAATTGAACAACTAAAAACGAACAAATAAAAATTAGAACGTAATGTTTTTTACACTGTTTACAACAATGTCAAATAGTATTTCTACTTGTGTGTGTATGTGTGTGTTATGTGGTATATGTATAATAAACCCCAAAAACAATGTATGTCCTGATCTCAGCTGAATTGCTTTGTTTTTGATTTCCTTTTCATTTTCGTTTGCTTTCTGAAGTTTTGTGTTATTTTCTTTTCTTTTGCGTTTCCTTTGAGTGCTTTGCTCATGCGTTCGCTTGCGAGCGAGTTCGTTTGCTTGCTCAAGCGTTCACTCTGCTGCCTCGCTGCTCACAAGTTCCCTCGCTGCTCACGCGATTACTCTGCTCACTCGCTGTTTATGCGTTCGCTCTCCCATTCTCTTCCGTTCGTGTTGTGACGTATTTAAAACTGACGCTCGCCAATGATTTTTGAATAATATTCATAATAATAATAAAAGCTCACGCGCGCAAACGCAATAAAAGTCATATTTTATATACGCTATGTTGTCTCATAGCTAGTGAGTAGAGCCGCATCCACCGGTTCCAAGCAACTGGGGCAGGTTAAACTACGCATTAGCCAATCGTCGATGCAGTTCACATGATAAATGTGCATGCAGGGCAAATAGCGAACGGCTTCCTCGTTGCTAAATTCCACCATACAAATGACGCATTCGCGTGCTGCTTTCTTTGAGTTGCTGTCATACGTGCCAATCGGCAAATGTTGAACTAATCCAATGCGCTTTGCTATTTTTATCTGATCCTCTTCGGACATGTGAGTGGCAGCGGCGACAGCGTTGCCAGATGTATTGCCACTGACCGTTTGATAGAACAGCTGTGGCATCGGCTCCTGCTACAAAATACACATATATAACTCAATAATTACCAAAGCTAGTACTGCTCACCTGATAAATTGGCATTGGTCCATTGTCCTGTGCACTAATGATGCTATCGCTGCCTCGCAAAAGTGAAATGTCATCTGGACTGCTCATTTTCAAGCAATTACCCATTTTATATGCACTGACTGCGGGCGAAGACAATAAAATTTTAATAATTATTGTAAATTTAGATATACTTATTAAATATACATATCTAGCAGTAAATTATCCCTAAAACGAGCTCAGTAACAAATAATGCTGAGTACTCGATTAGCAATTGTAGTAATTACGCACGCACTGCATATGTGTATAAATTTGCACTTTAATACATTTTAATTATACATATATTTATTTACACACACGCACTTAAGCATATGCAAGAGCTGCCAACTTTAACTGCTCAAATGTAACTTCCTGTTTAGCAGCTACAAGAATAACAACGAAAAACGTAAATAACATATATTTACATATGTACATATAAATACATACATATATAGTTTATATGTACATAGAATTGAATTAAAAGTTGTTCATTGCATTATGCTTTAATTAGGAAATAAAAATGGCATTTATTAACATACCAGTTGGCTTTTGTAATTGTAACTAACAATTGACCTCTTACTTTGATTTACTTTTTTATTTAATGCCAATAAAGATTGTAAAACATCGATTGCAACAGCGATAAAAGCTGTGCATATTTGCTGCGCTAATAACTATCGTTGTGCAACGATAGTTTGGTAATTGGATTGTTCCATTAGAGATGGCAATTTGTGAGTCGGTGAAGAGTCAGCAAATTGCTTGTATTATATATTATTCTTCATATAAATGTATTATTTTTAATATTAGAATATGAATAGATAAAAATGATTGCCTTTACATATTAAAAAACAATATACAATTATTTATATACAATGTGTAAGTGAACGACTGACTAGCTCGTCCGCACACGAACAAATCAACAACTGAACCAGTATGCAACGCTAAAGATAGTGTAACCATTTGCTATACGCTTAAAATACCAAACGCTAAAAAATTAACACAAAACAATAGACGAAAACAAATAGTTGAGTTGGCAAACAAAAACTAACAAAAAAAGAAAGAGAATCAAACATGGCCGAGGAGACTATAATACTAATATTGTTGGTAATTGTGATGCTGGTTGGCTCATATTTAGCTGGCAGTATACCGCTGGTCATGAAACTGAGCGAGGTACGCAGAAAAGCGCACGTATAACATACATATATATAAATATTTATGCCTAATAAAATATTTTTGCAGGAGAAACTAAAATGTGTGACCGTATTGGGTGCAGGTCTGCTGGTGGGCACAGCGCTAACTGTCATTATACCCGAGGGCATAAGATCTCTTTATATGGATAGCAGACGACAGCAGTTGCCACAAGCAGCGGATGCAAGCACAACGGGCATTTTGGTGGCGTCACCGCAAATGGACTATTCGAGAACAATTGGCTTGTCGCTTGTATTGGGCTTTGTTTTCATGATGCTTGTCGATCAAGTGTCGCAACGCCAGACAACGGGTAGCGAAAACGATAAAAATATTACGGCAACACTGGGTCTGGTCGTGCACGCGGCAGGTGGGCACACTGAAAGTTCTTCTCGTTTCTCTGCTTTGATTTTTATTTGCTTTGTTGTAATTTTCAGCCGATGGAGTCGCTTTGGGCGCTGCTGCCACCACCAGTCACCAGGATGTGGAAATTATTGTTTTCCTTGCCATAATGTTGCACAAGGCGCCGGCCGCATTTGGTTTGGTCAGCTTTCTTCTGCACGAGAAAGTGGAGAGGCAACAGATACGCCGACATTTGGGCGTATTTTCGCTGTCGGCGCCATTGCTGACCCTGCTCACATATTTTGGCATTGGACAGGAGCAGAAGGAAACGTTGAATTCGGTGAACGCCACTGGGATTGCCATGCTTTTTTCGGCGGGTACTTTTTTATATGTGGCAACGGTGCATGTGTTGCCCGAGTTAACGCAGGCACATCAGCACAGTGGAATGCATCACAAGAATGGCACTGGTTCCGGTTCCAGCACGTATGAGTATCATGCGCTGGAGGAATCACGCAGCGAAGCGGGGATTGACTCTGCTGGGAGTGTTCAGGTTCACAGCAGCAGCAAACCAGGGCTGCTCTATGGTGAACTCATCATTATGATCTGTGGTGCTTTGCTGCCCCTGGTCATCACCTTTGGGCATCATCATTAAGCAAATGAAACATCAGAAAAACTTGATACATTCATAGCTAGCATTTAATTCGTAAATTCGTAATTGTATATATTATAAGTTATAATGTAGGGCTTAAGCGCAATATACACATGTTAGTCATTTAGTTGAATAATGCAAGCAGTTTTGAATTGTGACAAGCGATATCGATTAGCCGCAATTAAACGATTGCAAATATGTTTGCTTAACATGTCAGCCAACCCTGAGGATCAATCGTGGCGCACAATAATCACTTCCTATTAAATCAAGCTCTACCGCAACCGTGGAGTAAACTGAACCTTAACCTCGACATTTGAGTCAGCTGCCGAGTAACTTCAGCTGTATGGAAATATGTATGATTTGTTTGGATAATCCTGACTAATCATATACTTTTTGCCTCACGATCGGATATTTGTTCAAGCTCATCGTTTATACTTGTGCACTCACACAAGTTTGAATGTGTTGTATAATATTTGCAGACTTAACATATACAGTGTCTCACAGTTCAAAAGACCCAGTGTCTAGCAAAAAATTTAATTGCCTGCCATAAACTAATTATTCAATATTTTTCAAAAATTCCAAAGAGCGATGACAGGTACATATATTAACCACCATAATGAATATATGATCCCAATAAACTGGGGTTTTCCCACCAGCTAAGCCGGGTTATGTAAAAAAGTACCTTAATTTATGGTCACATAGAATTTGGACCAGGGGCGTTATGGACACCTGGGTGCCATAAAACCCGGATTTTTTACGTCAGGTTGATTATTTTCGGTATAAATAGACCAATCCTTCGTAGTCAGTTTAGTTATATCCTGCATCTCGGGTGCCACCAGCCAACAAGGACTATGGACAAACGGACTACCATTGAGCAACGGAATCTCATCCTGGAACACTTCAAGATTGGATATTCACATCGCCAAATAGCTAAAATGGTAAATCTAAGCACCACAACTGAATTCAACATCACTCGGCGCTACGTCGACGAAAATCGGATAGAGGACAAGGGCAGAATGGCACCAAACAAGATTTTCACCGAACAGGAGGAGCGGAGGATCATCAGGAAAATAAGGGAAAATCCCAAGCTATCGGCTCCAAAACTGACTCAACAGGTGCAGGATGAAATGGGGAAAAAGTGCAGTGTGGAAACTGTGCGCCGGGTTCTGCGCAAGCATGACTTTAACGCCCGAGTACCACGGAAGAAGCCCTTTATAAGCGCAAAAAAATAAAGGGACTAGGATGACGTTCGCCAAAACCCACTTGGACAAGGATTTGGAGTTCTGGAACACAGTCATATTTGCAGATGAGTCCAAATTCAACATTTTTGGCTCGGACGGACGGAATTATGTGTGGCAACAGCCCAATACTGAGCTGAATCCCAAACACCTAAGGGCAACAGTGAAGCACGGCGGAAAAAGTGTCATGGTATGGGCATGTATCTCGGCAGCCGGCGTCGGGAATTTGGTTTTTATTGAAACAACAATGGACAAGAGTGTGTATTTCAGTATCTTAAAGGAAAATTTACTCCAAAGCATAAGTTCGGAATAGTACAGTCCTGGATTATCTGGAACTGCCCCCACATGATAATTCCACCGGCCCAGTCTCCAGATTTAAATGTTATTGAAAATTTGTGGGCTCTGCTGGAAAATAACATCCGGAATCACAACATATCCAGCAAACAGGATCTCAAGAAAGCTCTGTGTAGCAAAATTAGTCCAGAAACGACCCGGAAGCTGGTATCTTCCATGAATAATAGGTTAAGGGAATTTATTAAGGCTAAAGGATATCATACTAAGTATTAACATCCTCATTTAAGTTTTTATACGCCAAATATGTTACTTTTCTAAGATTGAGCCAAATGAGCTTTGACATGTATTTTGGACATGTTTTCAGTTTTTGACTAATTTTAATTAATTAATCAATATTTTAATAAAAACTAAAGTTTATATCAAACGTGATATAACATAAAACAAATTGGCATTTAAACATTTTGCGTTTGTTTCTTTGTTTAAACTTTATAGCACTTTAAATTTTTTGCTATACACTGGGTCTTTTGAACTGTGAGACACTGTACATATATTTGTTTTCTTATTTCCCACTTCCAAGTGCGCAAATACCAAAATAATAAAACAGCGATTCAAAATCCATTTTAGATCTTTTATTTTTTTTTATTATGTATGTATTATGTTTGTAATAATAATATTAATGACTTGAGTATAGGCGTCTTGGCTATTACGCAGTTGGTTTTTGTTTTTTCTTTTTTTCTTGTTTTTCATTCTCGTCAGTGTGTTTTTGAATGTATGTATTTTTATAATTATTTCAACTTGGAGTATTTTTTACGCCACTCGAATTAAGTTTTCTCCCTTAGCACATGTGTGTGTGTGTGTAATATCTTAATATAAATAATTAAAGTCCTTGTGGCAGATTTAAAGCGTTCTTCTAAACAATCAGCCACACACATTCACATGCATACGTACCTAAGCACACACACACACGCCTACAAATACAATTTCTTATATGTGTGTATGTAATTTGCACATGTGCCTTCACTAGCAGCACAACGTCATCAACATCAACTACGAGAGCTTTAAGAGAGAGCGCGCTCTCTTTCTTGCCTGCTTGTACGCCTTATGAGCACAAGTGTGTGTATGTGCGCTTAAGTTCACAGTAGATGTATGCATGTATGCGTGAGTGTAGATGAGTGCGAGGGTTGTTTGAATGGTTTGTGTTTTGTTTAAATTGGTTTTAATTTTTGGTTTTATTTTTGGGTTTGGTTTGGTTGGCTTGGTTCTTAAACGGCCGTTTCGGTGTGACTGTGGGATGAGAGACGCTCAACATCGATTTCGGGTATGTGCAGCTCATCGGGTATATTATCGGCATAGTCGATCGATGACGTCTCCGATAAACGTTTGCTCAGCGATGTCTGCTTGCGCAACACCTCCGCCAGCGACGTGTTTGTGTGTTCACCGTAACGGGCATCGAGGCCTTGCCGAAACGCATTCACCACTCGTATCTATTACGTCACACGTTACGTTACGTTACGCGTTTGTAGTAGAGAAATGAAAAGAAGAAAAGAACAACACCGAGAACAGTGACAAGATAAAGACAGACAACAATATATATATGTATATATGGTGTTACAGTTATTTATTCTTATCAGACAGCGAGAGCCAGAGACAGAGAAAGAGGCAGTCGAGAGTTTACAAAGAAATGCAAGATGCACACATACACATGCAAACAAACACAAAAGAGAAATAATGATTAAAAAAAAAAAACAGGCAAAATGAGTGCAATGTGTGTGTGTAGAAAACATGCGAAAAATGGCGGACGGACGAGGGGAGAATTGCCAGTATATATATATATATATATATATATATATATATATATATATATATATATATATATATATATATATATATATATAAACTCGAATTGTAAAATGGCATGCATAAGCGAAAAGCGAAAGAAAAAAACCAACAAGCAAGAGCGTCATCAAATTAGGCACGCTTCAATTTTTCACAGAATGGCATGCAACTATGACATTCAGGTTGGACGCTCAAGTATGACAATCAAGTCAAGTTTGACACTCAGCAGCGGTTTAGCGGTTAGGCTCTATCAAAACATAATTTTGCAGACACACATGTATGAAACACATTATTATTAAGTCATCAAAACTGAACAACGACATGCAAAGCGTTTCACGATTCTTTATGCCAGCCATACTTATATATATATATATATATATAATTGTATTTATCTGCATTCAACTTAATCTAAATCTAATTTCAAGAGCATTTTTGGCTTTCTTTTGGAAAAAACTTTCTGGGACCATCAATAATCGAAAACAACACAAACGATATTGATATATTGATAAGCAAATATATCCAAAGCATATTTGGCATTTGAATTTTTAGAAGCGGACTTAGCTCAAGTTTGCTTTGGACCTGATTGGCGTTTTTTTATATACGCCGTTCACAACGCTAACATAATTAAATATATCATATAAATAATAATTTAAAAATGGGACAAAGGTCTTTTATTGGTCGACATTAAATAAATAAGAAGGCGTTTGTCATATTCTTTAAATCTTTTCTTCCAACGAAAAAATGTAGAATTTAAAATTTATTATTTTAAAACAAGTTGTTACAGAAATAAAATAAAATAATTTTTTTGAAAGTCTCTGCTTGTAATTTAATTAGAATATTTGCTCCAACAGAAATTCAAAACTGAGGCAAATAGACAATAAACCATTTTAATAAAAATTTAAAAAAAAACCTGATAATTTAATATTCTAAATTATTGTTTTGTAATTTCAAATAAAAAAGCAGCAAAAAATATTTTAATTTGATTAATTAAAAATGTAACTTATTGCTCACGTTTAAATTAATGAATTAAAACTCTAAATTATATATACAATATATAAAAAGGAAAACAAAGAAAAAAAAAAAAACGAAATTATAGCTTATGCATTTTATAATATTAAAAGAAGAAAACCCTGATAAAAAATCTAAAATCAATGAATTAAAAATTAAAGTTATTATATAAAAAATACACAGAAAAAATCTAAGTATTTAATAATAAATGTAAATTATTTTTGAAGCCTATTCTAGTTAATATATATAAAAAAAGCAGTTCATAATAATAAAAGAATTATAATTAATTTATTAACAAACTAAATTATTGCTTATGCATTTACAAATTTATATTTAAAACAATTAAAATACCGAAAAAATCTGAAACTATTTTATAAATCAAAAAAAAAATTTTTTTTGATATCAAATGAATATTCAAACAGTTTACTTGTGTAGACTATACAAACTGTAAGATATATGTCTGTATGTCTCTCATCGTAAATATATAGATATAAATAATTTCGCTTTTGGGAACAGAGTATGCTCATAGTCGATATTGTCCGACTGCAGAGCGTTCTTATTTTGTTAGACATTGTGTATATAATAATACTTAATTATTGAATTGTGAAGCAGGTTGTTAAAATATCAGGTATATAAAATGGGTTAAATAGATCAAATAAGTTTAAATGGGTCGAATAGGTAGATAGGTAAAATAAGGAAAGAAGTCTTACAGCTTGATCAGTGTTGCTCTTGCTATATGGAACCGGTATCAGGCGTTCTTGCAACTCGCCGCCTATTACCTTTAAAAATCGAAAAGAGAGAGAGAAAGCAAAAAAATGGAATATATATATAAAATAAAGACAAAAATAAGTGGGGGAAGAAGAGAAATACATGTTGAGAGTTAAGTTAATTTTAAGTGTTGATTTTTTTTGTGATTAAAACTAGTTAAAAAATTATTCTACTAGTTGAGAGAATTATCGATATATCGATATACTTACTTGCATATATACATACGAAATATATGCATATGCTGTATGCATGTGAGTATTTTTCGAGTATTTTCAATAGTCATGTGTGTATGTATGTATGCATATATTTACAAACATATACAACGTAACTGTTGATAGATAGATAGGTGTTTCTTTTAGGCAAAGGGGGGAGGGGGTATGGACTGAGGCGGATAGGCATGTAAGTGTATGTGCGTGTGGTGTGGGGAATAAAACCGGGGTCTACAAAAAAATAAAATAAATAAAACGCCGATTTGAAAATATGTACATACATTAATGTAAATGTTGATGTATGAAGTCTTCAGTAGTATATATAAACATGTATAAACAATATTCAAAAGTCGCATTTTAAATACATACATAATTAAATATATATCTGTGTAAATTGAAAGTCAGCTGATGGGCCAATACTTTAAAATATGTGTATGTAACTCTTTATGTGTGTGCGTATTCAATTTTCGTTGGCGATAGTTTTGCATGATGGTTAGCGCACTTAATACATGTTGGTCAAGATCGTCGCACGTTACGACTAATAGCAGCAACCTAGGAAATACGAAGTTGTTTGTCAAATTTTCGTTTTTGCAATTGCAATTTGGCTAATTGGCAATGCAATTTTATTTTTGATAAGTGTTTTTAACTCATCAAGCCTTAAAACTACCATATTTAAAACTAACGTGTGTGTGTGTGTGTTATGTGTTAATCAGGCCTTAAGCAAAATGATTGTGTTGATAAGGTCAAAATACGCACACAGGTATGTGAGCAAACGCAAAATGTATTCAAATCAAATATGGAAAAAATAATTTGGTTAAGCCCGATTTAAATTCCATAAAATATGAATAAAATTGTACTTACAAAGCAAGTCTAATAAATAATATATATATATATATATATTTTATATTTTGTATATACAATACAAATGCACACTAATATATGTATATTGGGATTAACATTTTGCTTACATGAAATGAAATGAAATTAATGTCAATTGATGTCAATCAATAATACATATTAATATATGTATATGAGTAAATTAATGTGGACCTCAATTTTTGTAAATATTATGTAATGAAATCGTAATGCAACTGGAACCTATTTTTTGCTATTATTTTTAATGTTTTTTCATTATGCATTTTTTTGTACTTGCCATCGCTGCTCGAATGATCCACAGCCACCCTAGAATAACTGCAAAACTGTAACTGTTCTCTTCCACTAGCTCATTCACTGCACGCAAGCACACAAACACACGCACGCATGGACACGCAGGCCAGGCAAATAAAGATGCAAAAATGTTGGTGTTTTTGATTGTTGTTGGTATTTTGTTCATTAAGTTAGTAATACGAGTTCCGCAATAATATAATAGTAATATTATTAATGATGTTTATACAAAAACGAAAAATCATAAACATTAAAAGTATACAAAATCATGCGTTTAAATATACATATATAACAAAAATTGTTGCTAAGCGTTAAACGTTAATCGTTAAATTAATTATCTTAATTAAAGTACATAATTATCGGGCAACGGTAGAAATAAGAAAAATATAAAACAACACACGCTGACTAAACGGCAACTACATATGTTTGTATATGTATATAAATTTGTGTCTTTGTGTGTATAACTCATGGCGATAGATTTGTGGTGTGTGTGAGTTACTTTTCTACACACAGACACAAGCATGCCGAGTTTTCATGTTTTGTTTTCTTTTTTAAATTCGTGTTTCGTTCTGTCCATTTTTGTGCTGTTCGCTCAGTTGCTGCAAATTGCGGACGACGTCAGAAAAGCCGCCGCCGCCAGAAGCAGCCGGCGAATATGAATGTGAAGCGGATGAGTTTGTGTGTGTTGAGGTAGTTGGACAGCCATTTCTTAAATTGCGTTGTTGCTGTGACTGCGACTGCTGCTGCGGATCTTCGTCAATGTAAGATATGTCCGCAGGCAGCGGAGACAGGGTTGCGTTTGATAAATGCTGCTGCTTTTGCTGCTGCTGCGACGTTGGCTTCTGCGTTGACTGCGACTGCGGGTGCTGCTGTTTGCTGGCGTTGCTGCTGTAATTGGGGCTCAACAGATTTATATTGTAGAGAGGATGACCGACAGCAGCATTACTGGCTGCCGTCCGTGGCGTACGCAAGCTGTGCAAACTGTGCATCGAGCGGCGTTCGCTAAGATCTTCCAGGTTCGAGCGGAAAGCACGAATCACCCGCAACTGAAATCCAAACGAAATTAGAGAACAAACGAACAGAACGGGGGGATCGGGGAAAGGTGTGATAAACATAATAAACAAACATGTAGCAGTAATAACAATCATAATTATAATTAAATAGCACACAATATATATTTGTAACAATAAACGCTATTTACAAAACATGTCCAAACATGCATAGCGCAATTGCATGTGTGTGTGGGTGTGTGAGCACTTTTGCGAGTACTGAGAAGAGTATTTTTTGGTAGGCTTAGTACTAAGTATCTTACGATTCTGAGTAGTAGTACATTTGCAGACTTCGTAAATACACACATGCTCTCACACACACAAACACAGCGTATGCATGTTTGTACATGTAATTTAAAAACCAAATAATTTTTTTTTTTTTAGGTCAAGCCACTAATAATAGTAATCATATAATAAACAATACAAAAACATAAGGGGTTGAGGGGGGGGGGGGGGGGTGCGGCGGCATCACGGGAAAGGTAGGGATCATCACGTGATTTTATTTTGTCCATTTCCCTATTTGAAAAAAATCGCTTTCTTAATTAGCATGCAATTTTCGGCAGGGGGCTGGGGACATTTTTTCTTTCGTACATTTTGTAATACTATTTTTTTTAATTGACTGCTGCTGAAACTGTTGGTATTGTAAAAATTAAATTAAAAATCACTGGAAATTTGTTAAGATTTCATGAAAAAAGGCAGAGAATAGCAGAGAAAAGCAGAAGCAGCAGATAAAGTATTGCCAGCATTGAATATGTATGTAACGCGCATACTTCCACAGGTTTTATTAGTGAGGAGAGGTGAGGTAGAGGTTCGAAATGCAACTCTAATTGCTGTACGTACACGAATTGACATGCATGATGTACAACCATATATATACAACAGGTGGCGTTGCACAGACATCAAATTTAAAACAGGTAACGTTGCTAACTACAGCACTGTGTATATACATATGTACATTTTAACATACATACATTTGTTTAGATTAGGCATTTGTGTTAGTGTCTAGCAGCAAATGTGACAGTTGTGGTTGTTGTAGTAATTGTCTGTGTGAGCGGCACATGCACGTGTCGACTGTTTGACACATACACACACATAGATATAATACAGCTGCTACAATATATATATGCAAAATCAAACAATAACGCAAGTAAAAATATATTTAGATGTGAATAACAAAATAAAACACTTAAATAAATACAGACATAAGTGTCTTATCAGCAAAAAAGCTCACACACACACACACACACACATACCCTCTATTTACTCATTGATTAACGTATACGTTTCAAAGATGGCGGCTGTAACGATGGCTGTCGCACCCAGCACATTCCGGGCGATGTCATGTTTGAGTCGAGCAGATTCGTCGATCGAAAATGTTAAGAGAGCTTTACTTATATATATATAATATATACATACGTATATAGGCCTTTACGTGACATGCAAGCGTACAAATGACACTAACTAATAGTATGTTAACAGCTGCTAATGACAGTTACCGAGAAGCTGATGAATTATTTATTTATTTGATGGCAAAATAACTATTGCTTATTACAGTGAAATAATCTGGTAATTTGTTGATCGAAAAAGACGGATCGATTTTAAAGTGAATTTATATACATACGAATACGAATTTGTATGTAGAGCACTCAACATGTTGAGTTTGGCAAACGCTGCGCTTTCGGTTAAGTTTTGCAGCTGCGAGCTTTGTCTTTGATTACGCCACCATTTCTTTCATACTCAGCAGGATCATGAGAAGGCTAAAATTTAATCGCATTTCGGTCCATCTTTAATGTACAAATACACACACATACATACATAAGTTGGAATGTGTGTAAAAAAAAACTTATTTTAATATTTACTTTGACGTGCTGATTTTGTTTATCTACCTTGAAAGGATTGTTGTAGTTGTTTTTTCTTTAAGGAATTCATAATTTTTCATATTACATACGTTTCTCAATGCTCGTTAGAAGTGTTGTTGATAGTAGTAGAATAGTAGTAGTAGTAGTAGAGTAGTAGTAAAGTAGTAGTTGACAGAGCAGATAATAGTGGTAGAAAGAAGACCTTGTACTGTTGTTGTTGATGCTGTTGTTGTTGTAGTTGTTATCGATTGTTAAAATTGTTGTTTTGATTTGATGCTGTTCTTGTTTTTTTTCCGTTGTCGAATTGTTGTTAGCAGTTATCAATTATGGAAATTTATTTATCGCTGTCGAATCACCTTACTAACCTTAGCATGACTTGTGTCTATGGTTGTTCTTGTTGTTGCTATGCTAAACATGCCAATTTGAGTTTTGCTTTGGTGCTGTCCGCCATTTTGCGTAGTTGCCATTTTCAATGTTTTGCTTGTATGGGTGTGTGTGTGTAAGTTTAGTGAATTTGTGTGTATGTATGCATGTATGTGTGTGTATGTGTATATGTGATAACTCCTACTAAAAATCAATTGCAAAACTAAAACGCCTTTTTGTTCAACACACACATGGACTTATTTTTATGAACAATTTAAATTCTTTGTTTACTTGGTTTATTATTAGCTGTGTTTATTTGCAAGTGTTTGAGTAGTTTTTTTTTGTTCATGTACATATTAAATAATTCTTTGGTTTTGCTTTTTAAACTCGCCGCCACAAATTTGACATATATAAATATATATATATATACACATATATACATACATACATACATACATATGCCGTTTTCTATTTATTTCCCCTACAATGGTTTTTTTTTCGCTACGCAACAGGCATACATATTGCTTGCCTGCGTCTTTTGTATGTATGTATTTTTGTTTGTATTAATTTCTTTTATTTTAACCATTCTCATTTCAGTTTGTGTATTCATGAGTGACTGTCCGTGTGTGTGTCTGTATGAGTGTATGTGTGAGTTGTATGCGTATATTAATATTGAACATCATTACGTGAAATATATATGTACATAAATATGTACTTCTGTGTTGCTTATTATTGCAAATATGTCAAATTACACTTCAGTCTCTCGTATTGGTTCCGCCGGCTTAAAAATTACAAAAATTAACAAATATCTGATAATTACTTTCGCAATAATTAAATTAAATTTGAAAGCTAATTTATGAATTATATACTTATTTATTTCAAATGTCACCAAAAACAAAAAAAAATAAATAAACAAATAAAAAACAGATACATCATAATTATAATCAAATCGAATATATATATATATATATATATATATATATATATAGAAAAAAAGGTATGCGCATGTGTACATGTATTTAGTTATATATATACCAACTATTTATTTATATTGAAAAAATAAATCAAGAATTTATTTCAAGGATTATTTCTTTGACACGCGACGTCAACGTCATTATACCCGATAAAAGAACGATTTTTGAATATCGATACTGTCACAACTGGGAAGCTCAAAATGAGCACATATGTGGTATGGTGGTATGCATGATAGATATACACACATACACACATGTCGCCTCTCTCTCAATCACATATATATTTGTATGCATGTATGAACATAAAAAACACAAGTAAAAGAAATGAAATGAAACAAAACAAATCCTGAATTGAAAATTGCAACAACAACTATTAAGTAGATAGAAGTTTACAAAAAAATAAATCCAATTATTTACAATGGGCATTCAATAAAGTGGAAAAGCGCCCTTAAAAATGCCCACAGAAAATTTATTTAGAAAACATGCCAAAAAATAACAAATAGAAGACATAACAAGCAATAAAAAGATTGGAGCAGGTCGTGGTGCATTTGTAGGCGTGGTTGATTTCTAGTCACGCCAAAAATGTTTAATTGATATTTCTTTTCAGATAACTTTTTTAAGTGAATATAGCAAAAATTAAGCCTTTTTTAATAAAACAACAATACATTGCTATCCAATTGTTATACATGAGAAAATTAATTAAATATATATAAAAAGTCAATTAATCGAATATTTTTAATAAGCTTTGTGTTTTTGGATATGTAAATGAGTTTAGAATCTCAGTTGAAAAAGGAAAGTTTGGAGTTATAAGATCAATAAGGGCATATATCGATAAGTAGGATAGGTAAGAGTATTTTCTGGCCACATTATATGCTTGATTTCATGTATTGCCCATTGTTGCACAGAAAACAGCTAAAAAAGTGTTGCTCAATTCTCTGATTTTTTTGCTCAATCAAACCGACTTAAATAGCAACCTTTAATAAAATAACAGCTGTTCACACACACACACATGTACTATTTTTTTATACGAAAATTGAACTCTTTGTTGGTGACATATTTAATTTGTATGCACACTTATATATATATATATAATTATATATATTTGTGTAAAACATAGAGAACAGTTACAAATACGGGCAAAGCAACTACAGAGAACATACATACATACAAGAATAAGAGTAAAAAAGAAAGAGGTGAATTACATAAGGTATATTTATAAACACACACACACTCACACACACATTGTACATACTTACTTCCATGTATATATATGTATTTAAATATGTATAAATATATATACACAGATGCGACAAGTAATATTTAAATTTGAAATTGTAATTTTTAAATGCCTTATTTTTCGAATAGGATTATTCACAACTTTATTCGAACGCGTAATCGACATAGTATCGATAAATATATAAACAATAATAAGCGTGGGGAAGAATACAAAAACAAAAACGAAATGCAAAAAAATTACAATTGTCTTTTTAAACAGATGGTGGCCTTGGTAGTGGTGGGTTTGAGAGCGTGGTGGGGTGGGATGTGGTGGATTTCTTGGAGAGATTTGGTTTTATGTATTGGAAAACATAACAGAACACTGTCTATAATTTTTGTTGTTGCCAATAAATTTAAATTTATATACACTTTTCTTACCGGTACTGAAATCTGTAGGTGTGTTGAGATTTTACGCGAATTACGTATTTAATTATATATATAATAGATTGTTTTTTTTTTGGCATTTTTTATTTTTGAATTTGGTAATTTTATTTATATATATTTTTTTTTGGCGGTTTTTACGTAAAAATTCAGTCGGTCATTCAATCGTTTAGGGATTGGTTTTTTAGCATTTGTTTTTTAAAAAGGAGGGCGAAAAATATGAAATGAGTATTATAAACTTTATAATATATTTTTCTATAAGTTGTGTTATTGCAGCATGTGTGAAATGAGTCTGTAAACCGGCTCAACGTTAATTTTTTTTGCTAAGTGAACATACTCTTATAATAATTTATTTCATTAAAAGACTTCAAGCAGTTGCTCAACTGTTGAGTGAACTGAGCCTTAAACTCAACTTGTTGCTGAACAGTGTGCGGCAAATTGTTTTTTTTTTTTCTGCTAACACTGACTAACTAATTACCTATTTAAATACATAGAACAGTTGCATTAAATTGGCTTACGATCGGATATATATTCTAGAAGATATTACATTAATACATATTTTGAGCAAACTCAACCTCAAAAATTGAGTAAACCGAACATCAAACGCAAAATCTGACGAACAGCCGCTATCGCTTTAATTTGAGACAACTGTTCGATTGAGAAAACAATCGATTGGTGCTGAGAATGAAAATACTCAAAATTACGATAGATATATTAAAGAGTATGTTTAGCTTCGATAAGCCGAAGCGCAATCGATTAAATCCAAACTAATTAGGATAAAGGTGTCCTTTTATAGCACGTATTTCTTTATGAGTTATATCGAGGAGGGAGTGTTGTATAATAGCAAACTACATTTCGTTTGAAAATACATAGAAAAATATATTTGTGGTTTACGATTCACATGCGATTTTGTCACAAAAAAAATACAAAAATAAACATAGAAATTTCAATTAGAATTAAAAAAAAAGTACTGAAAATATACTGTGAATAGAATTCTATAGAGCCAAAAAAAGAGGAACTAAAATCAATAAATGTAACTGATCTAAAGAGTAGGGGTATTGCTGCTTCAACTGGAGAGATTTGGGGGTGGAGGTGGGGGGGGGGGGTGGAGATGGGGGTGTAGGGGAGAAACAGGGAAGAACCGAAATATCATCGATGTCTAGTGCAAAAGGGAGGAGAGAGATAGAGGGCGAGAGAGCTGTGACCTTTAGAGAAGGTGACGATGACGACGAACACCTTGCTGAATCAACTCTACAGAAGAAATACGAAAATCGATTCAAAAATAATTCATATATATTCAAAATGGTTGTGTGCAAATATTGTAGCAGCAGTAACGATATTTTGTACGGACGGTCAAGTATATATAGTGTATATATATATTCAATAGTTGAAGAAATTGGAATTTCTCGATAAGGCATCAACAGTTCGATAATTATCAATATGTCGATAGCATATCGAATATAGTCATTTTATTTTTTGCATTTAATTAGAGGGTCTCTTGCGAGTGTTTGAGAGAGTAGAGAGAGAGAGAGAGAGAAAGAGAGAGAGAGAGAGTGGAGATTTCACAAAAAGATTAATAAATTGTTTTAAGTTAAGCCTGATTATTACAAAATGTGCAAAAAATGCAACGACAAACACCGAAAGAATAAACAAAAAAAAACTCTAGTTTTGAATATTATTTTAAGTAAAGCATTCAGAATATGATTTTTTTGTGTAATTTTTCTAGACACGAAAAAGAATTGTACGTTCTATAAACTAGAAGCGAGAGAGAAAGAGACAAAATCCAAAAACTGGATTGAAGAGAGAGAAAGAGACAGAAACAGTTACACAGTGAGCGAGAGAGAGAGAGATAGAGAGAGGGAGAATTTTAGAGCGAGAGGAGAGAACATGGAAGTATGTGTTTTTTATACTACTACAAGTAAACCTTTATTTGTTCACAACTGTTTAACTACAAATCAATTCATATTTAAAAAAGACTACGAGGAATTTTTTTCTTTCTTTTCTTTGCAGTCAAAAAACCTCATGTTTTTTAATGTTACAGTGTATAACTTTCAAAAAATATATTTTCTGTGGCAGTTTACAACAATCATTATACACATACACTTGCGGTCAGAATAATAGCACTACTCTATAGCATGAGTAAAATAAAGCATTCGTTATGTAATTTTCTTGAATTTTGTTTTTTAATACCCTATGAATGAATTATTTTCTATATAAAAATATATATATTTTTTGCAATTAAAATTCAATATGTAGCGAAAAATAATAGAAATCGCCAATTCATATATTTCATAATTATTATTTCTGTAACTATTATTTATGATTATTTTATTATTATTTAATATCACATTTACAAAAATTCTGCTTTTATTTATTTTTGTTCGTTAATTTTCTTTTCAAAAAATTTTTTTTTTTCTATTTTAATTCAATTTAAAGTTAAAAGCACTGCTAAATTTTTGGTTTTGTTTTCTTTCTCAATTTTTTATTTGGAGCGTCTTCTCCACCTCTAAAAATGTATTCATATTTTTTATGAAAGTGGTGCTATTATTTTGTTGGCAACTGTAAAACAGAAACTCTTTCGCTATACATTCTTTATAGATTGTATAAACACGACTTTAGTACACATTATTGTGATTTGAAATGAGCTCAATACGCCTAGTTTAGATATTTTAAATATACACTTTAATTAAGTACTCAAATGAATTGCCTGTTTTGATTTAATTAATTAATTCTAAGGAGAAGAGGGCCCAGCGGAACCGATAAAAAAATATATGTTTGTCACAGCTTTGAGCCATTTTATATAATTTGTAATGGAGAATATCTATCGAAGTATCGACGATATATCGATAACGACATAACATGGAACACGGCATGTATACAAAAAAAAAACTCAAATCAAACGCAAACAAATTGATAAAAAATAAACCAGAAAATTAAAAAAAAAAAAACAATTCAAATAAAAAATAAATAAAAATTGTAATTATTAAAAATAAACCAGAAAATTATATATAAAAAAAACAATTCAATTAAAAAAATAAAAATCGCAATGACTAAAGACCCCAAAAAACAACTTAATTAATAATAATTTTTATGTAACATTTTTTAAATATTTTTTTTTGGTGCATGAGAACGGAGCAGAATCACCTCAGGGTTACGAGCACTCAATTTTTAACCACTTAGTGACTCAGTAGGGCACTTTTAGACCCCCTTAGAGCTAAGTTTACTTAAGCTTGTCAGTTCTACAAATATTATTTATGATTTATGTTCATATTTATAGAGTGGAAATACAATTTAAATATCTATTTTTTTTTAATTTAATATATTTTTATAGAATTTAGTATGATCACTTTTTTTTAACGACTTTCACTATTTTAATGTTTTTTATTAAATTGATTAGAAATGAATTCTCTCGGGTTTATCTGATTAAATATATTGAATATATATTTTAAATATATAGATATAAGATATATAGAGAATATATTGAATTTATAAAGTTATAAAATGCTTAAATTGCTTAAGTGGCAATTGAAAGTATTAATGCACTACTACCCTTAATTTATTAGGAATTGACTATAAAAAAATAAAGCGAGGGCACTAGAGGGTTAATCTCGCTAATACTCGTTGCATACATAAGAACGAGTACTCAAATATAAATTATTACTTTATTAGAATTATTTTTAATTAATTTTTGTTTAGGTTCGGCATAAACTAAGACCGTTTCAGGGCACTAAAGGGTTAACATTCGTTAGTTACGAGTATGTGCAAGCGAGTAAACAATTGAGGTATTCCCTGGCTGCGTTCGTATGCCACCAAACGTCGTATGTATATATATACATAATAATTTTTTAAAAAATATTTTCTATGATTGTAAATATGTTATTCGAAAAATATTCGATGAAACATTCGAATGGATCGAGACATGAATCGATATTCGATAATATAGATACAAATAGCAGAATATGCACGTTTTGTTGTAGATATAAATACAATTTTCAATCAGAACAAAAACAGAAAAAGAAAATTAAAACAAAGAAAATAATAGTTTGAAGAAAAAAGAAAGTCAACTATTGTTCTATACAGATATAGATATATATATTTTTTTTTGTTGTTTTTGTATTGTATTTGGTAATTAAAAAGAAAAGAATGGCACTCGTTTTGGGCTAAATAGTTTGCTAAAAAATGTAAAAGGGAAGGGTATCAAAGGACTTACTTGGGTTTGCAGACGAGTCAAGCCGCGAATCCATAGAATTTGTCCAGCTCTCGGCTTCTTGTCCGAATCAATCGAATCGAATCGTTCTTCACCCAAATTCATCGCATCTGTATATTCCTCGGGATGTCCGCGACCCCACCTAAAATCATAATAATAATAATAATAGTATAATAAAAGAAAATTATATGCAAAAAAATATTTATGGCGAATGTGAATAAAGTGTGAATGAATTGATTCCTCAAATATATAGATAACAGTATATAGTGTTTGCAGATATATAAATAATAGTATAATAAAATAATAGTGATTATTTGTAATTTAATCTAACGTATTTAATAATTTATTTTTTAATAATTTATTTTATATTATTTATATTTTGATACCTCGTTTATTTATATCTATAGTATATTATGATATTTTTAGTATTTTAAATTATAGTATGTAATATTTTCTTATGTTCGGTGCAATCTGATCATGTATTTAGGATTTTTATTTAATTTTTTTTAAATTCGCCAATAAACTGATATGAGGCTACAAACTTTTTTGATTGGATAATTCATACATCATTCGAAATGTATAACAATCAGCAAATGAACCAGTCTGAAAGGTAAAGTTCCGTTAGATAATTTCGTATGCTCCTCCAACAGAGAGAGCTGCCCGGTTGGATGCGAGCCGCACCGAAACATGTTTCAAGAATATGTGTTGGAGTGCGACGAACGAAGAAGTTCGCACGAACTGCCCTCGTTCCTGGCCCAGACGAATGAAATAATCACTAACCGAGCTGAGAGACGAGCCAAATGGGGCTGACTGTGTGAACTATGCTGAAACATTTGTACTTGTATTTTTGCTACAGGCAGTTTTAAAAATGTATAGTAAAATTTACTTGCCAGTTTAAACTGGCTCTGCAAAGATTAATTAATCTACGGCTTGCCTAAATAGACTTACTTGTTAATTATATAACTTATAATATAATAAATAAATAAAACAAATTATGCGATTTTAGCGCTAGCTGCAGACTGATAAAAGTAAATAAAAATCAATTTAAAGCATATTATAAATTATTAATCACAAGCTAATTAATTTAAGCATATAAAAGTATTAATCATCTGCAAATAAATTTATAAAAATAGTAAACTTAAGCTGAATTTTTCTTACTTACTTTAATTTTCATTACAACCAATCTATACTTTTTATTTTTGTTTTAAATTAAGCTTCCTTTGATTAATAATTAAATTACAATTACAAGTCAAACACAAACGGCTATTATTCTATGGTATTGATAGTCGACCCTCCAAAAAGAAAAATGAGTCCATACAGCGAACTGCAGCTCGGTTCGACTAGACTCGGTTCGAGTTAGTTTTTGGATTGGTTGCTTCATGTTTTATGTGATCGAATAAGGAACCAAAAGATCAGCGTCGAACTTGTTAACCGCATACAACAGATATCTTTTATTTATTTAAAATTAACGTTAAATGCTAGACAATTATTGGGTACGATTTAATAAAGGGCCAATTGTGCAAAGAGCAAATACCTTCAACTTTGATAATACATGTAATTTTTTTAATTTAATTTATAAAGCCGAAAATATTTAATTATAAGAATAAGTAGTCATAATACATACTTAAATATAGTAAATAATAACACACTTCAAATTTAAAAATAAAAACAAATTGTAAACAGCAAGCAACAATTAACTAAATATTTAACTAGCAATATTTATTTATTATTATTTATAAGTATTGGTTGTGCGTGTCTGTGGTGCGTGTGTGTATTTAAATGCAAGCCAAGAGAATTTCAAGCGCTTTACTCGTCATCGCTATAGGAGGTAGGAGGGAGGAGTGAGGAACAGGCATAGGGGGAAATGAATTGTCACGTTTTTTTTTTCACATTTATCACAAAGCAAGCGGACTGGACTGTGTAATGAGTTAATTTGTGTGAGATAAATTGGAGTGCCACAAGCCCTGTTTACAGTCATCGAAAAAATCAATAAGAATTTCTTGTATAAATAACAACGGCACAACTGAAATCCAAACTGTTAATTCGCTTTTAATTTTAATTTAACAGTCCTTTAACATTTGGTAATAACACACTGTTCATCAATTGTTAACTCAATGTTAATTCACTGTAAGCCATGTGATAGCTTTAAAATAATAAATTTGGCATATTAAATAAATTTGTTAAATTCATTTTGAATATTAAATAAATTATTCAAGTGGTCGAGGAAAAAATGGAACGCTGCGGCGAGCAAACTAATTGACAAATTTATGTGGCATTCAGCAAATATATAATATATATATTTATAATAAATAAATAAAAATAAAATACATAATATATATTTTATAAGCCAAGTATTTTATTTTCGAACTAAAAACAGTGCTTTGAGCGATGCGATATTATTATTATTATGAGAAGATATTGTTAAAACACATACGGATACATATATAGATAGAAATACTCACGATAGGATTTTAGGCAGCTTTCTAGTGGGCACCGAGGTGATCAACTGGCCCCAGACAAGAGTACCAATGCCAAAAAAGACGCACCACAGCCACTGGTCCAGCGAAAGAGCCTTGGTTGAGAAAGCCATTTTGCCATACTGAATAATAAGAACCTGAAAAATTAAAATTATTAAAGGGTTAGTTAAACAGAAACGAATTGGATTTAAACTCAAAGAGACCTGCGAAATCATTGTGAATATCCAGATGGTGTAGAAAATGGGATTGGTGAAGAGGCCCTCGACAACGTTACGCTGTCCGTGAATTTTTCTTGCATTGATTTCATTAAAAAGAGTCATCATAACAAACGTGTTGAAGATGATCGTGAAATGTTGTGTGGGTCCAGCATTCAAATCTTGTCCACGACCGGACTCAATATCTAGTATTAAGTCACCTAAAAGAGGAACGAATTATTAAAATATAATCTATATATATTATATTTATATATTATTATGAGTAAAACGCACCCACAAAGAGCAGTCCGAAGATGATGACCAACTGGTATAGGGCCTGTCCCAATATGTTCTTCATCATTGTGCGCGATATTAACGGTTTTGTGCGTCCATATGGCTTTCGGAGCAGTAGATCCGGTGTGGGCACTTCCGTTGCCAGGGCGAGAGAGGCCAGTGTGTCCATAATCAGATTCACCCATAACATTTGCACGGCCTGCAATCGATTGATAGGAATCGGAAATTAATTTATTCATTAATTTAATATTGTATTCTGTTATTTATATACTTGTTATTATTAATATCATGTTAATTAGATGTATAATTATTTATTATATTTTTATTAATTAATTAATATTGTCAATCCAACAAAACAATTCAAAAATACGCTATTTTAAACAGTGAAAAAAAATCTAATTACTATAACTAACGTCAATGTTTAACGACTAAATAATATTTTGCAAAATTGATATATAATTATATTTCATATATAATATAAAATGTAAATAAAATAAAATATATATATAATAATAATAAATCCACTCAGCATAAATATTGAATTGAATCATGTGGCAAGAAAAATATCATTAAATTAATGCAGGTCGAGTACCATTGAAAAATATATATACAACAGAAATGGCAATATTTACTGTCTGCACATTATAAAAAAATGTGTTTAAATAGAAAATCGACGAGTTCTCAATATATATTATCCACAAAATAATAACAAAAATATAAGAAACTAAAATAAAATCAAAATGAAATCAATACGAATTTTTAAATAGTGAAAAGAACTATTTAATCACAATTATAATCAATATTTAATTTATATATATTTATTATTATAATTGATAAAGGACGTACCTTGAGTGGAGAATCCTGAACGGCACAGGCACCAATAAATGCAACAATGACGGCAACAACATTCACCGTTAGCTGAAACTGGAGAAACTTCGCAATCGAATCGTAAACATTTCGTCCCCACATCACCGCCTTCACAATGCTGCTGAAGTTGTCATCGGTGAGGATGATGTCGGAGGCTTCCTTGGCCACATCGGTACCAGCAATGCCCATTGCGAAGCCAACGTCGGCCTTCTTGAGAGCGGGTCCATCGTTGGTGCCATCCCCCGTCACAGCGACCACCTCCCGATTATCCGTCACTGTGCTATCGATCATGCCTAAAATACAAAACAAATTATATTAATACATAAATAATAAATGGATTTAATTTAAGTTCAAGGCCAACCTTTGACTAGGGTATACTTGTCGGTGGGTGAGGAGCGGGCAAGAACTCGCAATTTGGGCCAGACCTTGTCAAGCAGATGCTGCTGGATCTTTAAAATATATAGAAAAAGTGGAATATTGAATATAAAATAGATAACTATTTAGATAAGTAATATAAATATAATACATATAAATATATGTAAAACAAGTTAGAAGTTAAAATGGATTTATGTAATTAAATTAAATATATCAAATAAAATTTAGAAAAGCAAGTTGTAATATGTTATAATGGACTTAGTTATAATATATGATTTATATATATATATATATATATATAACATAATATACATATACATATAGATTAATCGATAACTTACATCACCATTGCTGTCGCGAATGCGCTGATTGAATTCTTTGCCCTCCAAAATGAGGAAATCATCGTTTGGCCGTAGAATGCCGCATTTCCCAGCAATGGAACGGGCCGTATTAATATTGTCACCGGTGACCATACGGACTGTGATGCCCGCCCTTTGGCACTTGCGAATGGCGTCAGGCACCTCCGGTCGGACGGGATCTTCAATGCCCACCACACACAGACAGGTCAGGTTTGTCATAATATTCTCCTCGTCATCCCAATTGGGTTCGCCATCGATGTGCACCTCGTTGATGGCCGCCTTGCCGGGCACAAAGTCGCGATAGGCAACGGAAATGGTGCGCAGACCGTCGCAGGCCATCGGCTCGATCACCTCGCGGATGAGGCGCTCCTGCATGTCCCGGGTGAACTTCTCCAGCGTACCTTCGTGCCCATAGATAAACGAACATCTGAAATAATATCGTAAGTCATAATTTATATTTCATATATTATATATTCACTTCTTCATTATGATCTCGGAGGCCCCTTTTGTGTAGAGACGATATCCGCCATTTGGTCGGGGGATCACAGTTCCCATGCTTTTGCGCACCGAGTTGAAGGTGTAGACGCGTGTAAAACGATCCTCGGGTATTTCATCGCGTATGGATTGATATTTAACGCCCAAAGCCTGTACAAAACCGAGCAATGCGCACTCAGTTTTATTGCCCACCTGAATGGGTAAGTCTCCCGCATTTTGTCCAGGCTGTAAGGTGTTTGAATATTCATATCAATTAATATATACAAAATACCTATTTACTACAACTATCGTATATTAAATGTCTACATATTATTCAAAATTATAAATAAAAATTATCTTGAAGGGCACTGGGCAAGATAAATATCAATTAATTAATATTGAAATATCTAAATAATACAACTATCAATAGTTAATGTCCACATATAATTATAAAAAATAATGTATAAATACAGACAATATAAATAATAAACTTAAACTTGTAGCAACAACTAACGTCAACTACGTCCTAGTGGACGTAGCACTCAAATTTTCACACTTTGACACAGGCACACATCAGTATATGTTCCAAGTTTCAAGTTCCTATCTCCAAGGGTGTCGAAAAAAGTTGCGTTTATACAGACGGACAGATGGACAGACAGCATGACGGATATTGCACAAAACCAATATACTATGATATGACACCTTCGGTATCAAAGTATGAAAATCTATATCTAACTATCAACAAAAATATGTTAAAATTCACACATTATAAATAATAAACGGAATCTTGTATCCACAAACTAATCCAGATGGAGTACTAACAAAATCTATTTCCTATTGGGATACCTGCACTGCGACATACTCAATCTATTCTGCCCCCTTCTAAGCTTAATCTATGTACTACAACTATCAGTATTTAATATCTACATACTAAGAAAAAAATCCATACAGCATACATAACAAACTGAAGCATACAACAATATACATATATCTTTGTATAAGTTCTTACCATTATATTGGAAGTATACGCAGAATTGACCGATATGCCCATTGTGATCAGGTTGCCAACATGCTGCGGAATATCGTTCAACGTTGGCAACACCTTGCACAGTTTCTCACAGATATAGGATTGGACGACAGTCATTCGATTTGTCGTCAGAGTGCCCGTTTTATCCGAGCAAATAGCCGTCGCATTTCCCATTGTTTCACACGCATCCAAATGACGCACCAAATTATTATCCTTCATCATTTTCTACAACAAAAAATATACAAATAATAAACAAATATACATATATCGATTAACGCACCTTCACAGAGTAGGCCAGCGAGAGGGTGACAGCGAGTGGCAAACCCTCCGGCACAGCAACAACTAATACTGTAACACCAATAATTAAATGCTTGACGAGATTATTGGCATAAGTATTCTTCCAGGGTTTCTCATCGATAACGAAAGTCTTCACACAGAACTGTATTATCAATATGATAACCGTGAGCACGGCTATCGTTGAGCCTGCATAGCCAATTTGTATCGCCAATTTGGTTAACTTCGCTTGCAGCACAGACTTCTCCTTCTTGTGGCCAGTTTCGGCGGCACTTGTCGTCGACGATTGCTGCACATGATTCCCATCCGATTCCGATTTAATGACGTCGCCTCCTCCTCGAGGAGCTGCTGGTGCATTGGCTGCTACGGCTTTCATTGGTGTACGTCCATCAGTGTCACCTATATATATATTTATATATATGTATATTTATTTATATATATAAATATATATATATTTATTTATATATATAAATATATATATATTTATATATATATATATTTATATTTATATATATTTATATTTATATATATTTATATTTATATATATATATATTTATATATATATATATTTATATTTATATATATATATATATATATTTATATATATTATTTTTAATTTAGTAATAATTAATCTTTTTTAAAGTATTTTTATACCCCTGCAGACGATATTTCGGTGTCTATATGTTTTAATTTTTATTTATAGTACTATATACAAATCTGTTTCTTGTTTTTTTACATGTTTTTTTTTTAATTTGAATATTTTTTAGGATCAGTTAATTGCTGTGTTTAACGTTTCTAGTTGCAAGGGTATTTTTTTATATATTTATTTTGTGTTACATTTAAATACCAAAGCTAAAAGTGGCAGTACCCTATATAGTAATGGTATTCCATTCTTGAACTATTTTAGGCATCTTTAGACATCTACTATCTACTATGCCACTATATATTTTGTAAAGTTGGCTAATGATTTCAAAATACAACAATGTGAATTTATTTATGTTTATGATGATATATATTTTGTTTGGGTATATCGATTACTATCGATATCAACATTTATGTTCTACGTCAACTAGAGAAACAATAATCGATAAGAATTATGATGATCGAAAAGAATTTTATTGCTACAACTGTGGCATTGACGAAATGAAAATTATTGAAATAATTGAATATTGAAATCGATAAGGCAATGGAACCCATTAAAACCGAATTGACGATTGTTTTTAATGGCTTTAATCACTGAAGGATTATTATATATGTTATAACCATAAAAAAAACCGTTTAAAGCTCTGGTCTGCAAGGGCATTTTTTATCTTATGTTTCTTTTGGCTTTGTTTTTTACATTTGTTTCATTATGTATTTTTCTCAGTGTAATTATTGTAAAAAACTAACTGTAAATCTGTAATAGTAGTATTATTATTTAATCTATTTTAAGTGAATTCACCTGTCAGGCTCTTGCTCTTTTGCTTGCTCGCCTTTTTAGCTTCTGTATTATTGAAAATTTTTGCAATCGGAGTTTCAATCAAGGTTCGATCCATTTACGTCAATTTTTTTTCGTTTATTTTTCAATGAATTTGTTATTTTTTTTTTTTTGTGTTTTTGGTGGTGGTGGTGATTTGGTTGGTTGATTGATTGATTGGTTGGTTGTTTTTTTATTGGTAGGTAGATGAAGGAGTTTTCAAAGATGGGTCAATCAATTCACGTCATGCAATATTGGAATATGAAAAAATAAAAAATAAACCATAAACGATATATATATATATATAGTTTTTAAGCATATAGATAAATTGGAGTTCTTATTCTCACTGTATGTGTGTGTTGTGTAAGTTTTTGATGCTAACCAGGGCAATTAATTACTTAAACTTATTAAAATCTACAATTTTCTAGCCTATTTTTTTATATACAACATTTAACTGTTTTTTTCTTTTTGTGTAAGTAAGTTGGATTATTGCTTAGTGTATTTGGTATATATATATATAAAGATAAAGATAAATTTAAATACGCACCCTTCTTCATCTTTTTGATTTCGGCCTCCTGTTCGTCGACGGCGGCGCCGAGCAGCGTGAAAATAATTCCGGCCTGCGAATTGACGCCGACGGCGGTGACAACCATCTTGCCACTTCCCTCCATCACGTGGGTCCCAGAGAGAACCATCGGATCCGAGTCGGCACCCTTCTTCACATGATCCGATTCACCGGTCAACGATGATTCGTCCACCTAAGCAAATACACGACACAATGAACATTATCAAATAAAGATAAGTAATTTAAAATATATAAGTAATTAAACGAATAATAATCAAGTAACTTATTAAATATACATAAATAATTAAATAAATATCAATGTAAATAACATATTTTGCCCAAAGTCGCAAATTACTAAAATATTTAAGGCAGCGCTTCGCATTTAATAAATTAATGATTAATTGTTGAATAAATTTTTAGGAATTTGCCAGCCTCTATTTAAAATTGCCATCCGTTATTTATATTTCTCGTTGATGGTTTTATTAATTACGGTTTATTTTATTTATGTAATTTAGGTTTCCTTAACCTTTAAATAATCTCCGGTATTTGTTGTCAAATTTTATACCTAATAATTCATTTCGTTAACGATTTCGATTACCGTAAAGATCTGATTGGGGTTCTTTCTGAGTTTTCTCCAATCCATTTTGCTTTCAAATAGGCCCACAAACCTTATAAATATTTCGTGTTTATGAATTTAAATTTATATATTAAATATTATTTTTAATTTAATTTAATCTATTTTACTTTTTGTATTTTGCTGTATTGACTAACTTCAGTCAACATTAAACAAGTAATTAAACAGGTTTATAAATATATAAATAAATTAATTAATAGGTAAATACATAAATAAGTTGAGAAGTATATAAATACCTTTAAATCATTGCTTTGGATAAGGCATCCGTCTGCGGGCAAAAGATCGCCGTACTTGATTTGAGCAATATCGCCGACTAGAATATCGCCAACCGATATCTGGCAGACTTCGCCGCCTCGAATCACGGAGAACTTGTGCTCGCCTTCGATGCGATTCTGCAGACCCCGAAACTGTCGTTCCTTCGAGTAATCATTGAAAGCGGTCACAATCACGACCACAATCACCGAAATGAGAATGGCGAGACCCTCTATCCAACCATGATGTTCATCCTCCTCCTGAAGTAAAGCTGAAAATCAAAGAATATATATATTATATACACATATATACATAGAAACTAAATAGATAATAAATATTTTAAATTAATATATACAAGATAATAGGAAATAAATTAAATATAAAATTAAAAGAAATATTTTCAAATGTGTCTTTTTTTTAAGTTTGTAAATTGAAGCAGCTTATAAATACGTTCTTAGAAGTAGTAGAAGACTAAAAAAAAAATGAGCAAGAAAAAATAACAATTATTCTAAGAGCGTTTTCAACTTATTTGAATTGAATTAAAATAAAAAAAAAATATATTCGTTGAATAATTTCTACGTTCTTAACAATATATATTATTTATAAATATATTTTATTAAAACATATATTTGTTTTATAATAATAATTATTATATAAATGTGAAATAAATATATATATAAATATATATACATAAATATATATATATATATATATATATATATATATTTTATATACAAATAAATATTACCATCATAATATAAAAATATATATCATAGTAGAGTATAGACTTACGCGCATCCTCATCGGCGGGCTTATAGAATGATAGACCGAGTGAAACTAGAGCAGCTACCTCTAAGATAATAAGTGTGACATCCTGAAGCGCCTCCCAGACAAGAGTCAGAAACGTTTTCGGCGGTTTCGGTGGTATTACATTCGAGCCGAAAGTCTCACGTCTATGCTCCTCATCCGCTTTCGACCCGCTAAGGCCTAAATCGACAAATAAAATTCGAATTAATTTAAATTTATTATTTATTAATATAATTTTTCTACCTTCATTTGGAGATGTGTAGAGTTTTTTGCATAGCTCATGAATGCCACCGTATTCATTGATTTTCGCTATGCCTTCGCGGCCGCGATGCTCCATGATATCGCGTAATTGCTTAAGTGATACCCCATATTGCGCCGGTCTTCCATCGATTGTGGCCATTGGTTATAATATCTGTTAAAAATAAAAATATATATGCATATTTTAGTAATATATGTCAATAGTTTAGATGCTAAATGTTTAATTGTAATGCAAACAAATAATAAAAGTTTTACTAGTTTTCTTTAACCTTGAAAAATACATATTTGTTAAATAAACCGATGAATACTTAGATACAGAATGATTAAATACAACGAAATAACAATTTTCAGTTTAGTTTATTTTAATTATGTTGTATATTACAAGATAACTACAACCAGAAATTTCATAAATCGTATCATTTTTTCTTTAAAATCAATATCAATTTTATTTTTAATTTAATTTAATATATTTATTTTTTGTGTCGACTGATTTTAGATGACATTAAAAAACTTTGTCTAATGGTATGCAAATCACAGGGGGGTATCGAGCGCTGCAACGAGCCTCGCACATCGAACATGGTCGATTGTAAAACATTAAGCATACGAACGAGTCATCGAACATGTTCGCAAAAACGTTAATCGCTGCAGCTGTAAATGAAAAACCCGATCCTTTCACGCTCTATATCAACTCATGCCCAACAAGTAGTATAGAAGCAGGCAGATAAAAGCACGCGACTCGATCATATATACTTTTATAGGTTTTCATCCACACAGACACAGACACACGTGTGCGTGTAATAAAAATGTCGGCGGTCAACGGCTCTGTTTAGTCTCACATAACAGACAGACACAAGCACACACACACATGCACCTATATTTCGAAAATAAAACATTACCTGGGCAAAAAACAAAAAAAGTTCAATGCGCAAGTTTCGCATGTAGAAAAAAAAGCACACATTCGATATCGATAAAAAATACAATAAATGACTAAAAAAAAATGTAAGGCACAAAGTAGTACAACAAATAAAAAATACTAACATAACTGGTTTGCATAAAAAAAAGAAAAAAAAAACACCTAGATAGTAAATATAAACATGTATACGTATCTATATATACATACATGTATATCTATGAACTATCTAACACATAAGTGAACATGTCTTAACACGTCTACATTAAAGCATGAGCTATGATGACGTTATAATGACGCAAAATGCTGCAGAGCGTAAAATAAAAAGGGGATTAAACCGGCTTCTTTTAAAGCCCGCATACTGCAGTTTTTTCATATTTGTTGACTTCACTGATAAGCATAGAGGGCACACATAAAATAATATAATATAAGTGATGCATTCAAATTCAAAAACTCAATAATTATCCGGCAGGCAGCAAGCGATTATAATACGAATCTCGCTGGGGCCGCCCGAATCCAAGAAAATAATTGTCCAGTATTTTATCAGTACTTGGCCATGCATTCTTTGGAGATCAAAAAGCAATTGCTTATCACAACAGAAGAGGCAGCAAAGAGCGATAGCAAATAAGCCAGAGCCAAAATATCGCTAGCTTGCTTATCGCAAAATAAAATAATCTTTGTATTGAATGAAACTGCACAAATCCATTAACAATATAAAATTGTTAATGCAGATCAGGAATACGTTTTTTTATGTGTTAAAAATACCTTTTTTATGAAAGAATACATTTTAAGCAATTAGAAGAAAATTGTATTTTTTGCTTGTAAAAATAATATTTAATTATATATTCGCCATATATATTGATGTTTTTTTTATATCCATATTTTTATTTTTTGTATTTATATTCTTTTTATGAATTTGTTATATTCATTTACGTATCTTTCTTTATTTTAAGCCATGTATTTTTCACATAAGTTTTATTACACACCAATTACACACAACACATGCATAAATACACACGCACATACAAACATATGTTGGCAAGGGCATGGGAAAAACTAAATGCAATTAGCTCTATGCAGAGCACGCACACATGTATATGAAAGCATGTGTGCGTAACATTTTCGCTTGTCCTTTTTAAGCCACACTTTCTATGTTTATCAATGATTTACAGCTGGTGGGAGAGTGAGAGAGCGCGAGGAGAGCAAGCTAAGCAAGCTCTCTCACACAAACACACTTTGCAAATAATACGAACAAATGAAAGCAAGTTTTGTTTTAAAAAAAAACACATTTTTCACTCAACACGGAATTACGTCATACAGCACAGATTTTTCATGTGTTAAGATTTTTAGTGCATATGTGTGTATGTCTGTTGTGTGTGTGTGTATATATCTTGGCATTGGCATTCTAAAATTATTTTGGGTTTGTCGGCTTTGGATTTTAGTTATTTTATGCAGAGCAAATCAAAATGGAAATGTACATATACATATAGAGTTATTACATTATTGATTTCTAACGGGGCTGGCTCAAAGATGACAAATAACGGGATGATATCACTTTTATACATACATGTCTATATGTCTCTATATACGTAGATTTGTATACATGCCTACACATGCCAATAGTCTGTCAATGACATGTGCCTGCGTATGTATTTGCGTGTATGTGTGTCTGTGTATATATTTGTTGTGTGTGTGTTGCGTATGCATTTGTTGTGTGTGTGTTGCGTATGTATTTGTTGTGTGTGTGCTGCGTATGTATTTGTTGTGTGTGTGCTGCGTATGTATTTGTTGTGTATGTATGAGTATGAATTTGTTGTGTGTATGTTTATATATTTATGCATGTGTGTGTATGTTTATATATTTATGCATGTGTGTGTATCCCATATGCAATATGCTCAATATAAATATTTGATACAAAGGAATGCTTATGCGAAAATCTCTGCGCTTATACACAAAACTTGACATATATATATATAGATATTTGTTTTCATTTTAAGTTAATTATTTACCCAAATTTATTTGAGTTTTCGATATCGAAATTATTTTTGTGGGTGTTGCCACGCGATTTAAATAAAACTGCAGTAGGCGAAAAAAAAAAAAACGAAAATGGAAATGGGAATACAAAAATCGCAGCGCAAAAACAAGTTCAAACACAGCACGTAAATAAATTAATATTATATTAACTATAAATAAAACGTAAACATTTTATTTATTACCGTTGTCCTTTGACAACAATTATTATTACCAGATATGCTAGTATTTTTTGTATTATCTTTTCTTTGCCAACACAACGGATAAACTCGCAAGGTATACACAAATACAGAACAATGTGACCAGTTGGCGTTAAGCGGATAAAACAAAAGCAATTTTGAAGCAAATATATTGTTGTTAGCGATAGTTTTAGTTGTTGTTCAACACTTGACGATTGTCGACAAGTGTTGCCAGATCTTTAGCTGTCAATTATTTTAGTTTATGGTTTTGATGTTTTGAATACATATTATTTTATAAATATATATATATTTAATAAATGTCAAAAATTAAATTACATATATCTTAATTATCCTTAATTTATCACACTTTTATATTTTTAATAGTATTAATAAGAAGTCTCACTCTTTTCAAGGTCACTGACTTAAGTCACTTTTTTTATTTTGATGGTCATCACTCACACTTCTTATAACTTTTTATCGAGTAGAAGAAGAGGGCAGCAGCAGCAACTGGGACTTTCACTAAGTACAAACGAAGACTGCGCTCCGCTTTGCAAGCCAGCCTCCTATTTATAGCCTATTTGCGATACACTTGTACCAGTGTGTAAATTTGTACCTACTATGAACCCACTTATCCCAGAGTGACAGTTATTTGTCCTGCTTATCGCAGTATAGCTGCATGTTTTATATGTTGTTTTCTTTCATCTGTCGTTTGTTTGTTTTGATTACGTTAACAATGCGGCGTTCGTCTTCTTTGTCTTGATTTGCGTGATAAGCGCATAAAAATCACAATCTATCTTATCAGATCTCAGCTGTATGCTGATGAATGGAACAGAAAAGAAAGATGTATATATAAATATAATAATATTAAATAATTAATAATTAAATATAAATTGGGATTATATATTTAAGGTATATTATTATTTTGACGCTATTTTGATGCAGTTGCTGGATGATGCCAGTGTGAACAGCCTCTTTCACAGCTGCACATAATGACCGTTAGCTGTCACTTTACATCTAGTGTCAATAACGAGTTTTATTATGCATCAAAACAATAACAATAACTCTTTACTTTAACAAACATTCTTTTTTTTACTTAACATATATACTTAATATATTTTTATATTCTAATTATTTCATTTATAATTTTTGAAAAGCTGCAATTGCAATAACTGCAATCGCTTACGTAAATGCGATGAACAGCATTACGGATTATCTAAAACGTAATGAACAGTTACAGCTACATAACACACACACAAGTACTTGTATGTATGCGTATGTGTATGTGGATTCGTAGTTCAATTTCTCACCTACCAAAAAACGCAGAGAATTTAGATTGCATAAGCGTCAAACACACAAAGCACTAAACACAACACGTTTAAAAGTTGCACGTATTTTGTATTAGCACATCACATTTTAAAAAAACTATATATAGTTAATAGTTTATTTTTTAATTGAGCATACTTTAAAGCAATTGCATACTTTCAGGCGTAGAAAACGATCGATTGCAACTATGAATTTGTATGCGTGCTATTTTTTTTCTAAGCTATAAGCAAACAATAGATCGATTATTTTTAGAAAGAAAATTTGGAGAGAATTTCTGCGAGTAAGCCAGCTGGTCACATTAAATATACAAAATATATCGATTGGAGCGTGAGTTTGACTGATGCTGAGTCAATGGTTCGATACTTGAAGTGGGAGTTGCAATCAATTAATTTTTCGTTGATATGCGTCTTTATAAATATTACAACTAAGCAGACAATACATAGAGGCGTCAAATCACCAAACAAGTGCATCAGGTTTTTCCTGAATCTCTGGGCGCAACTGCAAAATTTTGCAGTGGTCAGCGTGTCGATCAGCAAAACGCAGGTTGTTATTTCACTTGACTTTCCTGCGACAACATCGCAGATAAATTAAAAACAGCATTTTATGAGCATGCGTGCATTGGTACGAACAGGTACACTGCAAATTTATCGACGCGTCGCCGTCTAGGCACAACTGCGTCCAGAGATTCGAAAAAAATCTAATGCACTCTTTTGTCGATTGACGCCTCTATGTATTGTCGACTTATTTAATATTAATTAAAATGATCAATAAAAATTATATTTTATTTTGATTGCGTGTATCGTTATATACTTAAAATGTATTAGAAATTAATTTATTCAAGTTATATTTTTATTTTTTCATAAAAACATCGATAAGCAAATTAAATGAATAAAAATAATTAGTTATTGGTTAACTTATTGTTTTATCGTTGATATCTTTATATATAAACAATTTATTGAAGTTATATTTTTATTGACTATTTTATTTTATTATAACAATTAATATACAAACAAAAAAAATATTGTTTTGCTATTAATTATTAATGCTTAATTATAGTTTGGTTTTAAATGTGCATATTATCCATTCCAGTTATATTTTTATTTTATAATAATTTTATATAAACAAAAAATATTGTTCTTCCCTCGCTAGCCAAATTGAGTTGCGCTTATCGATATATATACATATGTATATGTTAGGTAGCAAACTTAGGCCACAGAGTAACCCTCCCAGCGCTGATGCGCAGCGATGATCCAGTTCGGCTCTCTGCCTGAGACCTTTTTGAGTTGCCTCTGTGCGCGTCGTTGTCGTTTTCTTCGGCTTTTTGCGCATTGTATGAGTGCACGAATTTCGGAGTGTGTCGCATTTCCATTTATTATTGACTTGCATATCAATTTCAATAAAGTGCAATTGTTAATTTGGAAAGCGAGAAAGAAAAACAACAATAATTCGCATTTTAACAAATTGTGTGATAAAATGGCACCAAAATTTGGATACCGGTTTTTGATGAGCGTCGTCGTCCATTTGACGACATTGCCAGGTCGGTATAAATTCATTTAAATTTTTAATTTTAACTTGACTAATGTTTTTTTTACAGTTTTGACAAACAAAAAGATGAATTTGAATTGTAAACAAATATATTAAAAACGAATAATCTGTTGAATTGAAAATGGAAATGGATGCCACCTACCAAATTGATAATCCTAATAATAATAATATGTTGGCCAATAATCAATTTGGTTTTCGTTGGAAACACGTTTTAAATCCAACGGGGCCGCAGCCGCGTCCCCGCCACGGTCATCGTGCCATAAATATCAAAGAATTAAGGTCGTTTTTGTTGTTTGATAATTTCGATTGCTAATTGTCAATTTCCAATTATTAATTTAGTCACCAATCAATGGTATGTGCCCGTGCTGAAGGGCGATGTGCCAAATGGTTGTGCCGCTTATGGAATTGTTGTGGAAGGCACCCGCATGTCTGTCTTTGGCGGCATGATTGAATATGGCAAATATTCAAATGAACTTTACGAGTTGTAAGCAACCAAATGGGAATGGCACAAAATGTACCCAGAGACGCCGGATAACGGTGTCACACCCTGGGGCACAGCTTCACGATGGTCGGCGAGAAAATATTCCTGTTTGGCGGACTGGGCAATGAATTGGATGATCCCAAAAAATAATATTCCCAAGTAGGTGGCAATTATTAATTAATATTAGTAGTTGTAAATAAGTTGCCTTTTTTTCTACTTTTGTTTCTTACAATAATAATAATTATATTTATTAGTATGTAGCAATTAATGTTAATATTATTAGTTATTTGCTTAATACCAAAAAACAATATTCAATTGGTGCTAAAAATATATTTATTAGTAGTTCGTTTCGATTAAAATATAAAGCTTATTAAATTAAAAATACATTTTCATATTCAATATTTTTAAAATTCTAATTTTCGACTATCCTATTAAATTAAACTATTAAATTCATAGTTACGTTAGTTAACTATAATTTTCGACATAGCAAAATCCCAAATAAAAAATATATTTAATTCAAAATCAAATTTCATATTTTTAAATTTATAAATGAATGAAATTTTTAAACCACTTTTGAGAAGTCAAAAACTAGAATTTAAAGCAAAAATAAATATAAAATGAGAGTAAGCAATTTCTCAGTTAAATATTCTATATTAAATTACTTTTAGATATCTGAATGATTGGTATATACTGGATACGCGAGGCGTGCATAGTCAGAATGGCAAAATCCGCTTCCCCGGGAGTCGCACACGGGTATTTCGTTTACGAGCAAAGATACGGGCAATTGAGCCTACTCGTCTACTCCGGAATGAGTGGTTTCCGCCTGGGCGATTTGTGGTTGCTTGACACGGGTATTTCTGTATTACGAATTATATATATATTAATTATTATAATTGTTTTCCATTTGGTTTTTTTTTTTTACAGATTCCATGCCGTGGGAGAAGCCAAGAACTCGAGGACAAGCCTTTTATGATTGCAAATAAAATGTATGTTTTTGGCGGCTGGGTACCACTGGAGATAAATGACTCGAAGGCGACAACAGAACGTGAATGGAAATGCACAAATACGCTCGCCGTACTTGATTTGGGTATCTACTATATATTATCTATATAAATATATATACATTGTATATAATAATAAGCTTTTTGTGTAGATATGATGAAGTGGGAGAATGTCAACCTGGACACCATCGAGGAGAATGTGCCCAGAGCACGAGCCGGGCACTGTGCCGTTGACATTCAGAGTCGTCTCTATGTTTGGTCGGAGCGAGATGGTTATCGCAACGCTTGGAACAACCAGGTTATGGTGAGATAATAATATGTATATATAAGTATAATAAATATATATATAAATAAGTATATTTTATTTATATACCTATAAGCCAAAGTGTGCAGATTGTAAAGAGGTAAGCTCAAATTTGAATACATAAGCACTCAGAATGGCAATTTAATATAGTCCAAGGACTAAAATTTTTAAAAAATTCAAGTTTCATATTAAATGGCTTAAAAAAAGTAAAACTGAAATATTGGCCAATGTAAAATTGATAACAGATTTGGGAAAATATATAAAAAAAAATGAAAAATATAATAAATTAAACTAAATTAAAGTTGAAAGTTCTGAGTTTCTTAGAAATTTATACGATTTGGTGGGTCATGTATATGTCACAGTGTTAAATGAACTCAACTTATTTATAATGTCATATTAAGAAAGAAAACCATTAAAAACTAAAATAAACGTTAGTAGCTTTGAGATAATATTGTACAATTCACATTAAATGAAACAATTTATTATGTATTTTATTTATTTATTGTAAAATAAAACAAAACAAATGCAATTTTGAAGAAAATATATTGTTGTTGGCGACAGTTTTAGTTGTTGTTCAAGACTTGAAGATTGTCGACTGCTGTTGCCAGATCATTAGCTGTCAATTATTTTAGTTTATGGCTTTGATGTTTTAAATATCTATTATTTAAAAAATATTTATATATATATATATATAGTTAATAAATGTCAAAAATTAAATTACATATATCTTAATTATCCTTAATTTATCACACTTTTATATTTTTAATAGTATTAATAAGAAGTCTCACTCTTTTCAAGGTCACTGACTTAAGTCACTTTTTTTATTTTGGTGGTCATCACTCACACTTTTTATAACTTTTTATCGAGTAGAAGACGAGAGCAGCAGCAGCAACTGGGACTTTCTCTAAGTACAAACGAAGACAGCGCTCCGATTTGCTAGCCTATTTATAGCCTATTTGTGAAACACTTGTACCAGTGTGTACCTAATATGAACCCACTTATCCCAGAGTGACAGTTATTTTTCCTGCTTATTGCAGTGCAGCTGCATGATTTATTTGTAGTTTTCTTTCACCAGTCTTTTATTTGTTTTGATTACGTTAACAATGCGGCGTTCTTCTTCTTTGTCTTGATTTGCGTGATAAGCGCATAAAAATCACAATCTATCTTATCAGATCTCAGCTTTATGCTGGTGAATGAATACACAAAATAAAGATGTATATATAAATATAATAATATTAAATAATTATAAATTAATTAAAAATTGGGATTATATATTTTAGGTATATTATTATTTTGACGCTATTTTGATGTAGCTGCTGGATGATGGCAGTGTGAACAGCCTCTTTCACAGCTGCGCATAATGGCCGTCGCTTTACATCTAGTGTCAATAACGAGTTTTATATGCACAAAAACTATACCAATATCTCTTTATTTTAATAAACATACTTTTTTTTTTACTTAACATATATCCCAAATATATTTTTGTATTCTAATTACTTCATTTATAATTTTTTAAAAGATGCAATTGCAAAAACTGCAATCGCTTACTTAAATGCGATAAGCAGCATGTTACGTGTCGGTTTGTCCTAGGGGGGCAGCTCCGGCCAGCCAGTGCTCCATTAGGGGTGAGTCTACCCATGCCCGTCGACCGTACAATAACACAACACTGAACAAATCTACACATCTCTATTAAACAGCTGATGTAACGGACAGTGGCAACAATTATTTAAAACAAAAAAAATTTACTTTAACTTCGACGTCCACCGGTGGCCTCGCTGTTACCGCCGTAGCGTTCCCGCCCTTCCTGTGGGACGATATCATATTTTAGGGCCCCCCCTATTAATGTTAAAGATCACAGATTATTCCAAGAATCTTTTGGGTCCCCTCCCCTCCATTTACAAAATTTAAGTCCTCATTTTAATTGACTAGGTATATTTAATATTCATGGCTTACGGCTAACATTTTATGCTCGGACTTATTAGTATTTATGGTTATTACCCTAAATTTAATTTAAAGGAACGAGACCTGACAAATCTTCATTCGACCTTCTACGCCTTCACAATTGCTGTCTTTTGGCGCAGTCTGGTTTTGGGGCTTAAAGACTTTTTAACCTACATACAAAAATTAGGTTATTTATATATACATATATCTCCTTTTTTTCCAACCGAAGGTGAGTTTTCAGATTATTGGGGGGACACCCTTAAGTACCCTTCGGAGCTCCCCGGGATAAATAGGAGGGTATCTACTCACAGAAATCTTATGCCTGAGGAAAGAAAAATCTTTGCACTCAATAATCAACTAGCCTTTGCCACGTAGAAAACCAAAATAGAAATGTCTCGGTGACGATTAAAGCTAAAAGTCGGAATGCGTTAATTGCCCAGCGCACATAATTTCTTATAACAATTAATGATTAAGATAACTTTCTCGATTATGGGCTTCAAGGTAATAAATTTTAGCTATACTGATAACTTAATAATTAAATAATTAACACAACAAACAAATATAAATACGTAAACTATGATCTACGAATATAGCCAACAAAAAGTTTACGCATCGCTATCGACGGCTGCGCATCACTGATGTAACACGGATCAGCTGTGCGAGAGTTGCGTTAGGCCTTTTTGTAGGTTCGTATTTGCGGTTTTTAATTTATTCTCTATAATTTGAATTTGTTGCCTTCAGGGTATTTTATTAATTATTGTAGGTTTGTATTGTTGGTTTTTTATAAATTTTTCTTGATCATTTGAATTTGTTGCCGTCGGTGGATTTTATTAAATATTATAGTCTTGTATTTTTGGGTTTTAAACTTTCTTGATCACTCGAATTTGTTGCCGTCGGTTTGTATTTTTGACCTTTAAATTTTCTTTGCACTCCAAAAAAAACAGAATTTTTATATTTTTCTTTTTTTTTGCGCCTTGCGTTCCTTTGCCTCCTTCCTTCTAGCCGTTGACTTTCAACTGTCCTCCAAAAAATCCGATCATTGGCCTTTTTATTCTTTCTTTTGTTAGCTGCTCGGATAATATTTTGCCATCTCCCTTTCTTGAGCGCGCGAACTCCCTTTCTCTTTCCTACCAAAAACTTCTTCTCCATCGCTTGAGCGCGCGAACTCCCTGTCTCTTTTCAAAAAAAAGCTTCCTCTCCCTCCACTCACTTCAAAATTATTCAGCGGGTTACCACCTGTATGCCGGTTGGCAGCGCCAACTATCGATGACACTCCGCCCACCGCAGCAAGCATTATGGATTATCTAAACGTAATGAACAGTTACAGCTACATAACACACACACAAGTACTTTTATGTATGCGTATGTGTATGTGGATTCGTAGTTCAACTGCTCACCTACCAAAAAACGCAGAGAATTTAGATTGCATAAGCGTTAAACGCACAAAGCATTAAACACAACACGTATAAAAGTTCCACGTATTTATAGTTAATAGTTTTTGTTTTTAATTGAGCCCACTTTAAAGCAATTGCATACTTTCAGGCGTAGAAAACAATCGATTGCAACTATGAATTTGCATGCGTGCTATTTTTTTTCTAAGCTATAAGCAAACAATATATCGATTACTTTTAGAAAGAAAATTGGTAGAGAATTTCTGCGAGTAAACCAGCTGGTCACATTAAATATATAAAATATAACGATTGGAGCGTGAGTTTACCCGATGCTGAGTCAATGGTTAGATACTTGAAGTGGGAGTTGCAATCAATTAATTTTTAGTCGATATGCATCTTTATGAATATTACCACAAAGCAGACAATACATAGAGGCGTCAAATCAACGCAGATCGTTATTTCACTTGACTTTGCTGCGACAACATCGCAGATAAATTAAAACCTCAGCCTTTTATGAGCATGCGTGTATGGGTACGCTGCAAATTTATCGACGCGTCGCCGTCTAGGCACAACTGCGTCCAGAAATTCGGAAAAAACCTAATGCACTTTTTTGTCGATTTGACGCCTCTATGTATTGTTTGCTTAACGATATTATTTAAAATTAATTAAAATGATCAATAAAAATTATAGTTTATTTTTATTGTGTGTATCGATATATACTTAAAATGTATTGGAAATTAATTCATTGAAGTTATATTTTTATTTTAAAAATTAAATGAATAAAAATAATTAGTTATTGGTTAACTTATTGTTTTATCGTTGATATCTTTATACATAAAAAATTTATTGAAGTTATAGTTTTATTGAATATTTTATTTTATTATAACAATTAGTATATGAACAAAAAAATATTGTTTTGCAATTAATTATTAATGCTTAATTATAGTTTGGTTTTAAATGTGCATATTATCCATTCCAGTTATATTTTTAATTTATAATAAATTTATATTTAGACAAAAAATATTGTTCTTCCCTCGCTAGCCAAATTGAGTTGCGCTTATCGATATATCGATATGTTGGGTAGCAACCTTAGTCAACAGAGCAACCCACACAGCGCTGATGCGCAGCGATGATCCAGTTCGGCTCCCTGGCTGAGACCTTTTTGAGTTGCCTCTGTGCGCGTCGTCGTTTTCTTCGGCTTTTTTTTGCAAACTGTATGTGTGCACAAATTTTGGAGAGTGTCGCATTTACATTTATTATTGACTTACATTTCAATTTCAATAAAGTGCAATTGTTAATTTGGTAAGCGAGAAGGAAAAACAACACTAATTCGCATTTCTACAAATTGTGTGATAAAATGGCACCAAAATTTTGATACCGATTTTTGATGAGCGTCGTCGTCCATTTGACGGCATTGCCAGGTCAACATAAATTGTTAGCATCAATGCAGCAATCACAGTGCTCAATAATAGTTTATTCGTATTCATTAAATTTTTTAATTTTGACTTGACTAATGTTTTTTTTTACAGTTTTGACAAGCAAAAAAATGAATTTGAATTGTAAACAAATACATTAAAAAAGAATATTCTGTTTAATTGTTGAAAACGGAAACAACCAAAAGAAATCCCCGATTAACGATAAACGATAATTATGGAAAGCGCATCAAATAATTCTGCCGATGAGCCGAACGCGGAACAAATTGTTCGAACTGACTCAAATTGCTTGGCACGCATCGATATGGAAATGGATGCCACTTACCAAACTGATAATCCTAATAATAATATGTTGGCCAATAATCAATTTGGTTTTCGTTGGAAACGCGTTTTAAATCCAACGGGGCCGCAGCCGCGTCCTCGCCACGGTCATCGTGCCATAAATATCAAGGAATTAATGGTCGTTTTTGGTGGTGGCAACGAGGGAATTGTCGATGAATTACATGTTTATAATACAGGTATTTATTTTTGTGATTTTAAATGAGTTTTATTTTTATTTTTATTTTGAGTGCGCTGCTTGTATGTCATGCAAAGCAGGGGGCATTATATACTTTGCCACTAACGGTAATTGAGAACATCGTTGTAGTTGTGTTTCGTGTTATGCTATGAAGCTGCACTGTCACTGCACAATACGATACATCGTTGAGGGACTTACCATTATGAGTCGATATTCATGCAGCTGCACTATTTAACAACCCTGTATATTTAGTCTTAGCTTCCAGTCGCGTGTCGAACACTTTACTATCGCTAAGCAAATTGCAATTTGGTGTCGATGGAGCTTCACTATCGTCACACTACAATCGATATTTAAAAACACTACATATATAGTCACGACTGCCAATCTGAGTCGGCACGCTACAATTGATAATTTCAATTGCTAATTGTCAATTTCCAATTATTAATTTAGTCACCAATCAATGGTATGTGCCCGTGCTGAAGGGCGATGTGCCAAATGGTTGTGCCGCTTATGGATTTGTTGTGGAAGGCACCCGCATGTTTGTCTTTGGCGGCATGATTGAATATGGCAAATATTCAAATGAACTTTACGAGTTGCAAGCAACCAAATGGGAATGGCGCAAAATGTACCCAGAGACGCCGGATAACGGTGTCACACCCTGCCCCCGGTTGGGGCACAGCTTCACGATGGTCGGCGAGAAAATATTCCTGTTTGGCGGATTGGCCAATGAATCGGATGATCCCAAAAATAATATTCCCAAGTAGGTGGCAATTATTAATTAATATTAGTAGTTGTAAATAATAATAATTAAATTTATTTGATTGTTTCTAAAAATATATTTATTAGTAGCTCGTTTCGATTAAAATATAAAGCTTATTAAATTAAAAATACATTTTCATATTTAATATTTTTAAAATTTTCGACTATCCCTCAGTCGAAACAGAAAAATCTTAAATACAAAAAAAAGAAATTAATTTCAGAATTACGTTGGTTAACTATAATTTTCGACATAGCAAAATCCCAAATAAAAAAATATATTTAATTCAAAATCAAATTTAATACTTTTAAATTTATAAATGAATGAAATTTTTACTACCACTTTTAAGAAGTCAAAAACTAGAATTTAAAGCAAAAATAAATATAAAATGAGAGTTAGCAATTTCTCAGTTAAATATTCTATATTAATAGTGTTCATTTTTAAAATTTAAATTACTTTTAGATATCTAAATGATTTGTATATATTGGATACGCGAGGCGTGCACAGTCACAATGGCAAATGGATAATACCCAAGACATTTGGCGATAGTCCGCCTCCCCGGGAATCGCACACGGGTATTTCGTTTACGAGTAAAGATACGGGCAAATTGAACCTACTCGTCTACGGCGGAATGAGCGGTTGTCGCCTGGGCGATTTGTGGTTGCTTGACACGGGTATTTCTGTATTGCGAATTATATATATATTATTTATTATAATTTTTTTCCATTGGGTTTTTTTTTTTACAGATTCCATGACGTGGGAGAAACCAAGAACTCGAGGACAAGCCCCACTTCCGCGATCCTTGCACAGTTCGACAATGATTGCAAATAAAATGTATGTTTTTGGCGGCTGGGTACCACTGGTGATAAATGACTCGAAGGCGACAACAGAACGTGAATGGAAATGCACAAATACGCTCGCCGTACTTGATTTGGGTATCTACTATATATTATCTATATAAATATATATACATTGTATATAATAATAAGCTTTTTGTGTAGATACGATGACGTGGGAGAATGTCACCCTGGACACCATCGAGGAGAATGTGCCCAGAGCACGAGCCGGGCACTGTGCCGTTGGCATTCAGAGTCGTCTCTATGTTTGGTCGGGGAGAGATGGTTATCGCAAAGCTTGGAACAACCAGGTTAGGGTGAGATGATCTACACTTATAACTGATTTTAATAAAAAGTATATATATAAGTATAATATATATAAATATAAATAAGTATATTTTATTTATATACCTATAAGCCAAAGTGTGCAGGCTGTAAAGAGGTAAGCTCAAATTTGAATATATAAGCACTCAAAATGGCAATATGTATACATATATATATAATATTTATATTATATATATATATATATATATATATATATATATATATTTTATTTTTTTTTAATATAGTCCAACAAGGACTAAAAACCAATTTTTAAAAATTCAAGTATCATATTAAATGGCTTAAAAAAATAAAACTGAAATATTGGGCAATGTAAAATTGATGACGGATTTGGGAAAACATGTAAAAAAAAAATGAAAAATATAATAAATTAAACTAAAAGTGAAAAGTTCTGAGTTTCTTAGAAATCTATACGATTAGGTGGGTCATATTTATGTCAGTGTTAAATGAGCTCAACTTATTTATGTCATATTAAGAAAGAAAACTTAAAACTTAAAAACTTAAATAAACGTTAGTAGCTTGGTGATTATATTGTACAATGTGATTAAATGAAACTATTTATTATTTATTTATGGTAAAATAAAAATCATAACTAGAAATATATTAAAATATTAACTAGCAAATTACTTTGACATATGTAAATATATTAGTTTTGAAATACCAACAAAATAATATATATCAATATTTAATATATTTATGATTGCATTTGTATATTAATATATTTATTTATATAATTATATCCAAGTCAAGACAAATTTTGAATGTTAAGTGAATTATTTATTATTATATTGTTGTTATAATTAAATTATTTTTATTATTATCTGTTGCAGGTGTGTTGCAAGGATCTGTGGTACCTCGAGGTGACGAAGCCGCTGTATGCTGTCAAAGTGGCGCTGGTGCGTGCCTCAACCCACGCGCTGGAACTCTCCTGGACGGCGACAACATTTGCGGCAGCTTACGTGTTACAAATACAAAAAATAGAACAGGGTCCGGTGAGTGCCACAAAGCAGCCGCCAGCTCAGAATGTGGCTAATGCAGGTGCCACTAATGGAGGCGTCACAGATGCTGTTGCAACAACAGCGCCAACTTCAAGTGCAGCATTGAAATTCGATAAGAGCCCGATTTCTGTCTTGCATCTAAATGAGGCAAAAACGCCGGCCGCAGTGTATGTGGCACAAACGCCAGCGTCGCAACTAAAGCCGATATTGGCTGCCACAACTGTGGCAACTGTGCAACAACAACAGCCACAATTATCCATCATAAGCAGCACAGCTGCAACAACAAACAGCAGCAGTGGCGTGGCGAGTGGCGTTGCTGCTGCCGGTGGCATCTTACACAAGTTTCGGCCCAAAGATGTGGCAAGTGGCACGCCTAGTAATATACTGCAACTCAGCTCGACACCGAGTTCAATTGGTGGCGCCTCCTTGCGCATTGTACCGAGTGTTGCAACGTCAGCTGGCCAAACTTTGCGGCTTGCCACAAGCAGCAGCAGTGGCAGCTACGGTACCACCAGTGGCGCCACAACAACAATACTAAAAGCGACAACAGCTGCCACAATGCAACAACAACAACAGCAACTGCAACACTCAACAGCAACAACAACTGCGACTGCAACAACTTCCATCGGTGGCAAGCAGTATTTTATACAGAAACCATTAACACTCGCCTCCAACGTGCAGCTACAGTTTGTGAAGACGAGCAGCGGTGGCATGGCTGTGCAAACATTGCCAAAGGTCAACTTTAATATTGCCAAGGGTGCTGCAACAACGGGGCAGGCGCAGGTGCAAGCACATGCTGCAATATCCATTTGTAATCAACAACATGCCTCGGCGCCTGGTGGATCGACACAAATACAGGTAATTACTCAATAATTACTATTAACTGGTAAGTATTTAATAATTGTAGACATATTTAAAAATAGGTTGAAAATTCTTAGCTAATAAGATAATTCTGTTAATCCTCAACTACTAATTATAATTATTATTGCAATTAATCGATTAATAATTTGTAATTAATCAATTAGTAATTGTGATATATTTCAAATGTGTATTAAGTATTCAAGAATACCCAAAGTAGAATCGCCAAAAGATTGAAATTTGCCATTGGAATTATTATCACAAAAAAGAAGTGTATTATTTCGTAAGTTTATATTATACAGATTTAAAGAGAACATTAAAATTGAGTAATTTAACTACAAAAAATAGTTAGGTCTATTGAGATAGGACGAAGAGCAAAACGTAAGCATTCCATTTGAACAGATTCCAGAACTTTGCTGAATCGGAGAATATTGGGGAGCAAGAATCCTAATCCAGATTTGAAAATTGAAATGAAGAGATATTTTTTTATCGTAAATGTCTCATCGAAATTCTTGACGCTGAATTTAAAATGAGATATAAAATATTAATTGATGCTCAAGAAGTAAATCTAAATCATATTTTGTCATGTACTTCATAATTTTAATATACAGATAAGTAAAAAAAACCACACAAAACAACAACACAAAAAAAAGAATTAAAATTTGTAGGAAACAGTATAGTTTATCAAGTTTATTGCTTGGCAATATATTCCCTGCTTATCATTATTATTATTATATTTTTACACAACTATAAATATTATTTATTTATGTGCTGCTGCTATAAATGTTATAATATTATATTTAATATATTATAATATTATATATATATATGATCCTTCAGCTCTTTGATTGTTTGTCGTCTTCTGTATGCATTATTTAATTAAATGTAATTTTTAAAATTGTTATGCTTAGCACTACTACTATTTTTTTTATATTATTATTATTAGTGTTTTATTTGTATTTATTATTATTATTTTCTATATGGCTCCTTCCATTGATGGATTAATAACTATTCATATATTGTTTAATAGAAGGTCTATTATAGTAATAAATAAAAAGAATGGTAGTGGGTAATATATAATAGCTGAATAGTTGATAATCTCTCAATAATAATAATATAAAATAATATTTAAATATTATTATTGCGTCAATTGACATGAATAACTATTCAATTACAATATATTAGCACTATTATTTTATTTATTATTACTACTATTATTTTTTATATAGCTCCTGCAATTGAGAGATTAAATATTATTTAATTATTTTTTATTATTACTAATTGAGATATTAATAACTTCAATTATTTTAGATTGCTGCTGGTGGCAGCTTGCAGCCGAAGACAGTGATGGCCTCTGGCACAATAACAACTGCAACTGCTGCTGGCAATCAACTGACGCAGCTGCAACAACAACACCATCAACAACAACCACACCAACAACAACAACACCAACAACAACAACAACAGCAGCAGCAGCAACAACAACAACATACACAAAAGTCACTGGTGTCGGGCAATGTGCTAAAATTGGTGTCGCCACACAGCGTTGCCGGTGGCAAGTTGATAATGAAAAACTCAAACATAGTGCAAATGGGGAAAGTGACGCCAAATGTGATGGGTGGCAAGCCGGCGTTTGTCATCACCAGCAACAAACAAGGCGCCCAATTGGGTAATCAGCAAATAATCATTGTTACCACGGGCACAACCGGATTGAGGAGCGTGTCCTCCACTGGTGCCGGTACAGCTGTCATGAGTAGCGCCGGCAGCAATGCCACAAATATTGTCAGCATTGTTGGCTCTACGGGCACAACAGCGACACCCTTGGCTGTTGGTGGTGGCGCTACAACACGTACCGTTATCTCTGCCACGCCGACCAATATGAAAATGGTGCGTAATTTAACGGGTACCGCCGGTATTGCTGGCAGACCCATTACTCTAACGCTACCCACCTCAACGACAACAACAACTCAACTGATAACTGCCGGCAATGCTGCGCAGAAGTTGCAACAGAAGACGGCTGTTTATATTGGTGGCAAGCCGGTCACTGTGATGAGTGCCTCAAATGCGGCAGCCAGCACTCCCGGCACCAACAAGCTGGTCATGTTGCCAGGTGCAACGGCGGCGCGAAAGGGTTTCGTCAATATTTTTAATGCGGGCGGCGTCGCAACGGCTGCGGGTCAACGAACTTTGACCCTCTCAGCGCGGGGTGCTCCCCTTAAGACCACCACACCCATTATACCCCTCAAGCAGAAAGACAAAATTGTCGAGGCAACAACAACAACAACTCAACAGCAGCAACAGTCGATTAATATTGCCAAATTGGCCGATTTGGATGCGGATCCCATGGATGATATTATTGAGCAACTAGATGGCGTCGATGATTCATTTAAACAACCAAAGGATGATGAGCATATTGATGATAAGGTGGCGAGGGATGAGCAGGAGAATGCCAAATCTACATCCACACCCGCTTCAACATCGGCAACAGCTGCGGCAACAGGATCCGATACGCTGCTGGATTTGGAGAAAGCAGCTGTAAACGATGATGTTTCTGGTGTTAGCAGCACGACGGATCTGCAGCATACGGCACAAGCATGTCCGGAAGAGAATATGGATACAAATGTAAATATATTTGTTATTATTAATGTTTTTATTAATATTAATGATATTATTATGAATGTTATTATTATTATTAATAACCTCTGCTGATTATTTATAACCTCTGCCTTAATTTATAGGCCAATCTCTCAGTGGCAGCAGCTACTGCTGCTGCTGTGACTACAACTGGAGCTGATTGCAATCAGCCGACTGCATCGGAGACGGAGGCTGCCAATATATTGACGACGATCAAGTCAGGTGAGGCTTTGGTGCTGCTGAAGGACACAACCATATCGACGACAAGCGAATCGGACGCAGATCAATCCCAATTACCGTTAAACGTGCAGCGTCAGCATCAGCATCATCATCAAAACGGTGAGTTGTGCTACAAAATATATATAAAATTGATTATATATATTTAATTAACATTTATTTTTCAGTGGAGGGCTCCCAATTGGATGCGTTGGCATCGGCAGCTGTGATGCAGGCGGCGACTGCTTCGGCGGATTGCAGTAAAACGGCTGCAGCTAGCAGAAGTCTGCTAGATGGCAGCTCCTCCTCCGCCTTCGCCTCTTCAGTCAGCCAATTCAGCTATACCAAATCGAATGAACAAACGAAAAGCTTCAACAACAACAACGACAACAATGTAAGTGAGAAAGCAAATAAAGAATTCGCTAGTCGAAAGAGAGATCGATGAGCTGATACCCTGCATTTATTTTATTTATTTATTATTTATTTTACTTGTTTATTATTTACTTTTTTTTTTATTTATTTGTCTTATTTAATATTTATTTTATTTATTTATTTAACTTATTCATTATTTATTTAATTTTTTTATTTGTTTGGTTTATTTTATATATATTTTTTTATATTTATTTGACTTATCTATTATTTATTATTTATTATACTTTTTATTATTTGTATTATTTTTAGTTTAATTATTTATTTGACTTATTTATTATTTATTTTGAAATTGATCGTTATTAGTCGAAGTCCATATCAAAAGGGTTAGAGCTAGATTGAATCGGCTTTTGATGTTGGTCTCTATATATATATATATATATACATTATGAAGCTGATCTGCTTCTGTCTTTCCGAAATTAATTCAAATATAAATCCTGCTTTATATTTAAATTAATTTTTTTTATTAATTATTTCGCACATAAAAATCAAATTTAGAAAAGTCAAATTGATTTAATTTCTATTCAGCTTTAAGCTTTAGTATTTATTAATTAATCGATTGGCTTACATTATTGATAGATGGTGATAAATTTTGAAGAAAAATGCAGTAAATCAGCGCGATTGATTTTAGATATTCCAGTTATATATATATTATTTATATATTGTAAATAATTTATATATATAAAAATTAAACTATTCCTTATTGTTTTTATTCAACAAAAACTGAATCGTTTTGTTTGAGTGCTTTAGTAGAACTGATTTTGTAAACTCTAGCTTATCATAATTAAACTCGGACTGCTGACTCTGCTGGCGTCTTGTCGATGTCGTTTTGGTCGCTGTAGCTTTGTAGTTGTTGTCCTATTGGTGGAGGTGTCGGTTGTTCCATCTGGGTTCTACGATGGTCCTCTAGTGGAATATGCTGACGGAGGCGCGTATCATATTACATCATACGCCCTGGCTGTAATCGTTGTCTTTGTATATTTCTGGCTGAATCCATCGTTGCCGAAATATGCTGACGATAATTGATTATGGGTACTTGTGGCAGAGTCCAGCGTTGATGAAATATACCGACGAGGCGCAAGTGTCATATGAAATTTATTTTAGCTTGTCATTTGTAATGATAGTTCTTAACTCCTCTCCCCTTAAACTCGGAATTCGTCGGACGCGATGTAAAACCTTGTTTTTTTTGTTTGATTCTGCTCCGGAGGATTGTCTTCCTGTCTGTTAGCTTCTAATGTGACAGTTTTTTATTTGATTCAACATGTGACTATGATTATTAATAGAATGAAGAGCGTGGCTGTGAGTGTTAAATTTACTGTTGTTGTTGTGGTTGTGCTACTGTTTCTGAGTGTTTTAGTTCCTTTGTATTTTTATTTCCTTTAACATTTGTAATGACAGTACTTTCTCGACTTCTGACTTTCCTTCTATTATTTGTAGTAGTGGTGGTGTTGCTTCTGCAAATGTCATTGCATTTGATAGGTGGAGGTCTTCTCCTACCCTGACTGTTGAGTTTTCAAACTGGATAAGGAATGTTCCCCTTAAATCCATTGGTTCTTCGTCAAATTTTATTTCGATTTTGAAGTTGTTGAGCAGGATCGTTACGGTGAACAATTCTTCGTGGTCGGGTACGTGTTGACTATTTATCAGTTAACAATCGGCTTTTTTGCTTTTGAGGATTCGTGTTATAGAAGTATCGTTGCTCAATTGTTTAGTTTTTCTACGTAAGCTTTTATTGTTATAGTTTCACAATTTTCTTTGGTTCCAAAAATATGTTGGCTACATTGAATGTGATACAGGGTGATTTCTCCCACACTCGTGTTTAAAAGCATCCATCCATAGATATTTGCGACAGCTTGTTACTGATAACGAATTTGATGATATCGAGCTAATAGATTTAATTGCCGCTTGGCTGTCAATGTATATATTAATACTGCCAGGGCTAACTTTGAGCCTTTTTAGACAATCTAGTGCTTCTTTTATAGCAAGTACTTCAGCTTGAAAAACACTGCAATGTGTCGGAAGGCTGAATGATAGCTGCCGGTGGATCGGGAGTGCCATGAGCATACTCCTCCCCGGAGGGGAAGTATGTGTTGAAGTGTGTTTCCAGTTATATTACTGGCACGCAGTAATCTGTTTTCGAAGGGATGGTTAACCTCCCCTCTAAGATAGAAGCATGGCCTGTTTTCTGAGCAGTCCAGGTTAAGGATTCTCTCAGTCTTACGGCCGTGAGTGCCATTCCTTGTCTTTCCAGAAATGGGATGTCCAGGATAGCGTCTAGTGCCTCGCTAGACAAGAGGATGGACGTTGTAATTTCTTGTGAAAAGAACAAGTTCCGTTTTATTGGGGTTTACACTCAATCCACTCTCCTGTGCCAAACATAACTAGTCATGAGGTCACAGAGAGTTTGGGGGTATTTTCCCCTGAAGATTACCGCAACGTCATTTACGTATGCAACTGTTTGGCAGCCGCCCTCCTCCATGTCCCGCAGCATTTTATTTATTACTAAGTTCCATAGAAGGGGTGACAGGACGCCTCCTTTTGGCGTACCTCGGCTGACATACCTGCAGAGAGTTGAGGACTCCCCTTGTGGATATCACAATCCTGCAAGTGAGCAATTGATTGATCAATCCCACTAGACTGGTGTCAATCCCCAGGCTCAGCAGAGCTCCAGTTATTGCAGCCGGTTTGACGTTTTTGAAGGCGCATCCAATGTCTATGAACGCTATTGGGATGTATTCCTTATAGATTTGAGATTTCTCTTTAATATTGACCACAGAATGAAGGCCATCTGTAGATCTGCCCTTCCTGTAGGCATGTTGAGACTCCTACATAAGCTTGGAGTCAAAGGATGTTGTGAGATAAAGACTTATAGTCGTTTCAGAGTCCTTAACATGAAAGATGACAGACTGATGGGTCTGAAATCTTTGGCGCTGGTGTGTGATGGCTTCCCGGCTTTGGGTATGAAAGTTATTTTTGACTGGAGCCACGTCGATGGGATTCGACCAGTCTTGAGAATTTTCCCAAAGATTTCGGATTGCCAGTTTATGGCTGTGTTGCCCGCCTTCTGTAATTGGGTCGGGCTTAGTTCATCCGAGCCTGGAGATTTAAATGGCTTGAAGCTGTTTACTGCCCATTTTATATTATCTCTGTCTAGAAGAGATTTTATAGATGTAATCTCTTCACAAGTCATTTGTGTGCACCTCAAAGGCAACTCAGAGCAGCCTGGGAAGTGCGTTTTAAAGAGCATATCCAGTGACTCTTAACTGGAAACCGACCATGAGGTGTCAACTTTTTCAGATAACCTAATGTGGGGATGGTTTTCGATAGAACTTTTCTGAGCCTTGCAGCTTCGATAGTTGATTAGTTGTCTATGTATGTGCAGAAATCTCTCCAAGATTTCCTTTTAGCCCGTCTGGTGGCTTTTTTGTATTCCGCCAGACTTGACTTGTATTGCGACCATTGAAGATCGTTTCGCTGCATTAAAGAGGGACCTGCAACTTTGTCGACGGACATTTAGTTGAGGTGTCCACCATTGGGGTTTTTTCTTACGCATCGGCTTACTAATAGGGCAGGCTGCCTTAAAATCCTTATTGCATGTTATTGTAAAAGTGTGTAAGATTACAGAGGTGAGCGAAGTTATCCGGACCGGTGGGTGTTCTGAAAGGGTTCGGTCTAAATTAGTTTTAAAGCTTTCTCAGTTCGCCTTCTTCTGGTTTAGGAAGTGAACTGGTTTTGGGTGGATTAATAGAAGCTCGAATTCTATATACCTATGATCAGAGGAGTGGTCATCGGACACTATCTAACCTGTCAGCTGGTCACTCATAGGGTGTGAGATTAAGGTCAAGTCTATGACCTCTCCTATTTTTTATTATGAATTGGGATCATTTCCCGTATTACATACTAGAAGGTTTGTATTAAGAATGAAGGTTAAAAGCGACTCACCCCTCAAATTTGTGTCCGTACTCCCCCACTGAATGTGGTGAGCATTCGCGTCGCAGCCTATGATAAGGCCGATCTTGCGCTTCTCGCACTCCTGGACGAGGGATCTCATGATCTCGTCTGGTGGTGGACCAATGCTGTCATGGGCTATGTAAGCAGACAGTAGCCGTGTCGGAGCTGGCTGGAGCTCCAAGCTTACCGCTGTGTTGTCGCCATTGCTAAAATGATGGAGTAGAAAAATACTTAGGTGTTTTTCGCGAAGACGCAGGTACGGGTTTTACCTTCATTCTGATCTACAAGGAACTTGTAGTTTTTACTTCATAGCCCGCAAACCTTGCCTCCAATCACCCAAGGTTCTTGAACCAGTACTGTCGTCTCCGCCACCAGCCAGACGGAGCATCAGGGCAGCGGATGCTGCTTTACAGTGGTGAAGGTTTATCTGCAGTGCAAAGTCGACCTGGTCTAGCTCATGACACATGGCCTCAAGGCCCCGAGCAAAAGTTAACGCGTCCAAAGTATAGCCCGGTTTCAGCTCATCGTCAGTTGCTCCGATATCCGGAGGGGAACCTGCTCGACTGGCTTCACGGTGATAGAACCGAAGCCAAAGTTCAATTCGCCCTTGGCAGCTTCAATTGGTGCCAGTGATTCCTTGTTTAGAATCAGTCGGCCCTTCTGTGGCCTCAATCTTGACCACCCTCTAATCATCATGGGTAGGGAGGGAGGGGTTGCATAGCTGCAACAGACTCAGCACCTGGTCCGGTTCCTTCAATGAGGCCGGGATCTAGATGCGTGCTCGAGGTCTGCTCGGGACTTCGCTCCAGTCGACAGCGACCAGCTTCGCCCCAGGGTAGACCCCGCCGACTTTTGCGACGGCAGCCTTATACAGCTCCACCGAGCGTGCGTCTTGGCAGGCGATGACTTTTGTGTTGCCCTGGTACCAACCAGCATCTGTAGGCAGCGGACAGCTAGGACTCCTTCAACTCACTTCCACTGGTTATTGGGAATCCTTCCATCCTTGTTGCCCTTGCCGAAGATCCCTATGAGGATTCTCTCCTTAGCAATTTCGGCGAAGGACCTTCCCGGTTGCACCTTGGCCCGTTTTGCAACGGATCCCTGCGCTTGAGAGAGTTGCCTTTTTGTGTGGCTCTGCTCTTAATTGCGTGGTGCCTCGCTGAAATTTGGCACTTCACCTTGTTTCGCCATTCGGTTGGTGGGTTGGCCACCGCATTCGCGTTCTGCCGCTTCAGAATGCTTGCAGCATTCATCCTTTCAGCAGACGTGAACCTTTTCGCTATGCTGCTGGTAGTTGATAATTCGCTTTTCGCACTTGCTCCTGCCGGCAGATTGGCTGCACCAGTGCTTTGCCTTCCTACCAAGAAGTCGGATGAGTCAGGGCTTTTGCCGACTGCACCCTCCCATTCGATTTTTCCTCTTAGAAGAGTTGTGGGAGGTTTTGTAAATTTGGTGTAATCGCGAATGAATCTTTTGTAATAGCTTGACAAGCCAAAAAAAAACCTAAGTCTTTGAGACTTTTGGTATTGGAAAATTTTTGATTGCTTTCACTTTTTCGCAATTTTAATGCCGTTTGTATAAATAGTAAAACCTATGAAATCGGCTTCGGTCTTAACAAATTCGCATTTGTCGATTTGAATTTTCATATTTGTTCGAAGGTCTCGAAGACCGTTTTTAGATGCTTGACGTGTTCGTATTCGGGCTGACTGAAAAAATGATATCATAGCACACATAGAAGATTTTTCCAAAGTGGAGGATATCATCTAATGTTCCACTTATCTATCCGTAATTGTTATAGAGTTAAGTTTCCTAGAAGCGACGACTATTCGAAACTGGTGGTCTACGTCAGTTTTTCGTCTGATTCTGCGAACAAATTTATACGATATTGTTCGTCAAGTGTTTTTTTTTTGACTGAATAAATTAAGCAACGTGTGGTGAGATATTTTGGTTTGTCCGCCAACGGACGTTAAACATAAACAAACGGAGATTAAATACATTTTCGTCTGGATTCGGATTTGGAACTAATTTTGGTTGAATGTAATTTTGGCAGCAGCTTTGAAATAAGCTTGTTCATCGTTGTTCATGTCGTAAGGGTTTGGTTGCTCGACCTGTTCTTCGGTTCAGTTGCAATGTGGAACCGTCGTTGGATTTTTGGGGTGCTAGGTGCGTTTAGGGGGTGTTTGCCTGCGAAATCATTTGTGCGTTTTATTGATTGGTACAATTGATACAGATTTTGGCTCTGGCTTTGAAAAAAATGGGCGCGGAAGCGCTTGGTAACCCTGCCTAGGATTGAAAATTTGTGGCAATGCTTATTGACCGTGTGATGGCTGAGGAAATTGTTTAGCTTGTTGCGTCATCATGAATGGAAATTTCTCCATTGTCCAAAGTTTGTGATTTGAGGCGGTTTATGCACTGGATTATGATTTCTGGGCGGTATGAGTGGTGTTTGTTGACTTAACTTAGGCAAGAAAGCATTTCTATGTTCTTGGTTCTTCACAAAGTAACAGATGCAAGGTCTGGCTCAGTTCTCTTGGGTCTTTGATCGTTAAGAGTGTAGGTAAGTCTACATTTAAACCTCGCACGAACGTATCGAAGTCTTTACCGCGATAATTGTTCGACAAAGCTCTAATTACCTCTGGTGCATATTCTTGTACGCCTATTTCGTTAGGGATAAGGGATAATTGATGGTATACCATTTGATAAGATTCCTGAACTGCCAAACGTCCTTGAGTTAATGAAAACATTTGATACTTGAGAGTTTTTAAATCTCTCCTATCAGCATAGTTTTCTTTTGAAAATTGTTCTCCAGTTCATGGTAGTGTTATAAGATTCTAGCACCACATTCGCTTCTTCTACTATTTTGTTTCGGATTGCTAATTTTATCAACTAATATTTGTAGGTTTCTTCTTTACCATTATAAATGGTCATTATTTTTTTTACGTTGTTTTTTTCCAAGAACCAAATGCTGTCCGATCTCCGGAAAAATCTCTGATCAAACACGTTATTTCGGGAATTTTTTCTTGTTCTTCCCCTAATCTCAGACTGGTAAATGGGATATCGTTAAGATAATCGCTGCCTTGCGACTGAGTCCAGCGTTGATAAAATATGCCGACGAGGCCTAAGTGTCATATGACATTTATTCTAGCTTGTTATTTGTTCGAGTTATTTGTAATGATAGTTCTTAACTTATATGTTAAATATTATTATTTTCTTTATTTAAATACTTCCGCTTGCCACATACAATTTTAGAAGCGCATTATACCCCTTTTTAGTCACTTTTATAGATTAATATATTGCTGTTTTCCAGGCTGTGTCCACTAATAATAACAGTAATATAATCGATGACAACGACAAGTGGCATACGGTGGGTATTTTCAAGGAGCTCTCTCACACGGTGACCAGCTACATCGACTATAAATATTTCAACGAGGCGACGCAGCGCGACAATTTTGACACGGATCATTTGCCCGATTTGGCGCAATATCCACGCATCAGTTTGGATCCGGGCACCGCGTATCGCTTTCGCCTCGCTGCTCTTAACACCTGTGGGCGTGGCGAGTGGGGAGAGGTAAGTTTAAAAATATTTATATTAATATTTATAATTAATATTTAACATTTCCCTTGATCTACTTTAGATATCCAGCTTTAAGACTTGTCTGCCTGGTTTTCCTGGTGCCCCGTCCGCCATCAAGATATCGAAGGATATTAAGGAGGGCGCCCATTTGACATGGGAACCGCCGCCGGCACAAAAGACCAAGGAAATTGTCGAATACTCCGTTTATTTGGCCGTCAAACCCACCACAAAGGACAAGGTCAGCTCGCCCCAATTGGCCTTTGTACGCGTCTATGTTGGTGCCGCCAATCAATGCACGGTGCCCAACGCATCCTTATCAAACGCCCACGTTGATTGCTCCAATAAACCAGCGATTATCTTTCGCATCGCTGCCCGTAATCAGAAGGGATACGGTCCAGCGACACAAGTCCGATGGCTTCAAGGTAAAGTTGATATAATATTTGTTTTTGTATTTATAATCTTATTCCTATATATATCATTCATTATATTCTTATATAAATTTTATTATATTCCTATAAACGTACATACTTCAATTAAGTCTTCGATTCTGTGTTAATCATCGTATCCTGCTTCATACATGAAACCTTATTGAATTTCTTAACTTCTTAAGTGGATATGAATAATACAACCCCTTTTTTCTTTCTATACGTATTCTAGTTAGCTCAGGCGTAGACCCTATTTATTAATGATATATTTATATATACGTATATATATACAGTGTCTCTCAGCTCATAAGGCCCAGTGTCTAGCAAAAAATGTAAAGTGCTATAAGGTTTAAGCAAAGAAACAAACGCAAAATGTTTAAATGCTAATTTGTTTCATGTTATATCACGTTTGAAAAATAAGCATTAGTTTTTATTAAAATGCAATGAGCAATGAACAATGAAAACATTGTTCCAGCAGCCAAACAGCCAAAATACATGTCACAGATTTTTTGGCCCAGTCTTAGAAAAGTAACATATTATGCGTATAAAAATTTAAATAAGGATGTTAATACTTAGTATGATATCCTTTAGCCTTAATAATTTCCGTTAACCTATTATTCATGGAAGATACCAGCTTCCGGGTAGTTTCTGGACTGATTTTGCTCCACTCATCCAGCAGAGCATTTCTGAGATCGGATCTGTGATTCCGGATGTTATTTTCCAGCAGAGACCACAAATTTTAAATAACAATTAAATCTGAAATTATCATGTGGGGGCAGTTCCAGATAAGCCAGATAGCAACCATGCGGACTTATGCTTGGTTGTTGTCCTGGTCGTGGTCCTGGTAGAACCGGAAAGTACGTCGGATTCCTAGCTTCTCGGCACTCCTTTGTTGTTGTTTCAATAAACACCAAATTTCCGACTTCCGGGATAGATGCCCATACCATGACACTTCCTCCGCCGTGCTTGTCTGTTGCCTTTAGGTGTTTCGGATTCATCTCAGTATTGGGCTGTCGCCACACATAATTCCGTCCGTCCGAGCCAAAAATGTTGAATTTGGGCTCATCTTCAAATATAAATGTGTTCCAGAACTCCAAATCCTTGTCCAAGTGGGTTTTGACGAATGTCATCCAAGTCCTTTTATTTTTTGCGCTTATAAAGGGCTTCTTCCGTGGTACTCGTGCATTAAAGTCATGGTTGCGCAGAACCCGGCGCACAGTTTCCACACTGCACTTTTTCCACATTTCACCACCTTCACCTGTGGAGTCAGTTTTGGAGTCGATTTTCCCTTATTTTCCTGATGATCCTCCGCTCTTCCTGTTCGGTGAAAATCTTGTTTGGTGCCATTCTGCCCTTGTCCTCTATCCAATTTTCGTCGACGAAGCGTCATGTTGTATACAGTTGATTTGCTTAGATTTACCATTTCAGCTATTTGGCGGTGTGAATATCCGTTCTTGAAGTGTTCCAGGATGAGATTCCGTTGGCTGGTTGTACCCGAGATGCAGGATATAACTAAACTGACGACAAAGGATTGGTCTATTTATACCGAAAATAATCAACCTGACGTAAAAAATCCGGGTTTTATGGCACCCAGGTGTCCATAACGCCAAATAATATGTGACCATAAATTAAGGTACTTTTTACATAGCCCGGCCTAGCAGGTGGGGAAACCCCAGTTTATTGGGATCATTTATTCATTATGGTGGTTAATATATGTACCTACCATCGGTCTTTGGAATTTTTGAAAAATAATTATGAGCTGAGAGACACTGTATATATATTGTTTTTATTGGATTGGATTTTTTGAATAAATAAATCTGCAAAATATATATATTTTTTAATTTAAATATTCGACAGTTGGTTTTTGTATTTTATTTTGTGTCTAGTTAGTTGATTTTAATTAATAAAATAATACAAAAAATTAACTATATACATAAATACTGAATTCAATTAATAAATTTATTAATACAAATCTGAATTTTAGAGATCTGACCTCAAACTAGCTAAATAAATAATTAAATTAATAAAAAAAGATAAATAATTTTAAATTAATAATAATTTAATAATAATTATTAAAGAATAATAAACATAAATAATTAAATAAATAAAAGTAATAAATTAATTAATAATTAAATCTCTAAATTTTAAACATATAAATAAATAGATAAGTAAATAAAAATAATAAATAAATATAAAATTTCTACTCCTATTTACACAGATCCAACAACAACCAAGTTGCAAGGCTGCGCCGCAAATGCGCCCAGTTTGAAGCGGACACAGGAGAAGACTGGCGGCGGCGCCTCGTCGGCAGGCAGTGCCTACAGCTCACCGCAGAAGCGGGCGAGGAGCTCCGGTTTGCAGGGTACCGAATGATTATCTTTATCGTTATCGTTATCGCCGTGGCAAATCTAACTGGAAGCAGTCTATTATATATTGTACAGTGCATCATCATCATCCATCAGTTGGAAGGAATTTGTTTTCCAAACGATTGTCGAAAAAGTGCAAGAGAAGATCTGGATTTGGTCGTCTTACTTTTAACTTAGTATATATATATATAACTTAGTATATATATATATATATATATATATATATATATATATATATATATATATATATATATATATATATATATAATTAATTATGTATATATATGTATATATATACATCTTTATAGTTTTAAGTCTAAGGTCGGAACACACTCACAAACAACCAGCACACACACATAAACGCACGAGCACACACACACATTTCAGAAACTAATAATTAACTTATGCAATTTAACATCAAATTATATGATTAAAATTAACAAGAACAAAAACCAAGACAAATAACAGAAAAAAAGGAATTCGTGCGTATGTTTTATATATGTATATGTACATCAATTTACTTGTAATACAAATACGTAATAAATAAAGTTAGTAAGATAATATATACAAATTTTATGCACATTTTAACTAAAAATTTAAAGATAAGTCGAGTATTAAACTGGTAAATGGAAGTTGCATTTAAATAGCAATTTTCAGCAGAAAAAGCGCAACTCAATTAATAGCAAGTAGCGGCTTATAATTTAAAAAATAAAAATTTTTAATTTATTCAAATTGAAATGGCGCAAAGTTTTTGTGTTGCGCTTCGTGTAAAATATCGAGTAGCTTAGGCACGCTAACGAGGGCTTCCAACTATCGATGAGTAAACAACAATTAGCGGCTTGGTAGTTATCGATGTAAGGTTCGAAGCCTAAAGCGCTGCTTTCAGAAAATTCAAATTGTAATTAATAATAAAATTGTAAAGTAATAAAGAATTTTTAAAAATAACACCCAAAATGAGATATTTTGCAAAGTAAGAAGACGAGTGATCTTTTATCGATTTAATTACGTTATATACTTATAAGTATATACATATTCCTTTTTTAAACTTATTGCACTAAACTCTTTATACAATTTCAAAATGTATGTTTTTATATATCCTTATATATATATATATATCTATATATATATATATATATGTATATATACATATATATATACATATATATATACATATATATATACACTGAATGTTGCTAGTTTTTTGAGTACAATGAATTTTATTGCACATAAAATGTGTGTGTTGTGCGTGTGTATGGATCAAAGGATTAAATCCCAATTAAAAAAGGAGATTGTTGAGATCCAATGCAATATATGTACATACATTTGTACGGCTATAATATATATATGTATGTATGTATATAAATACATTGGTATTTAAAACAGATTCTATCTATAAATGAGAAGCAATAAAATATATTTAAAAATTAAAATATAATTAACAGTCGATTTCACAAATATACGCAAAACAATATATATTCAGGCTGAGTATATGTTATGATTAAAATTAAAACAGTATTGATAATAATATTACATAATTAAGGTTGTGTTAAAATCTTAACGGAATCATACATTTTTTCTTATCGGAATCAAACAAATTTCAAATGAATGAATGACAAAGAAAAGTATTGAATTTGGAACATCCCTATTTAAAATATAATAGTCCGCTCTCTTGATTTTTGTAAGTTTTTTCGTATGATTTTCTTCACTTAAAATACGCAGCATGCTTTCAATAATTAATTGTACATGGTTTTTAATTTTTTTTTATTATTATTTTTCGTTGGTATTTAGACTAAATGTATGTAGACTTTTATACATATGTCTATTGGCCTATTGAGGAATAGTATTTTTATATTTGTAAGTAAATAGCCGGATTCCATACATTTCCAACATTCACATTCGAAACAAAAATTACCATTAATCGACTTATTTTTTATATAATAATAAAAAAAAGTAATTCAAATAAAGGCGAGACTAATAAGTAAGTAATAAATCAGGAAAAATACAAATAATTATTTATATTATATTTTCTTTGCAGCATTAAGTTATAATGAACTATAAATTAATTGAAAATATGAGCTTTTATTTATTATAAAACCGAATTACCAAAATTCGACATATATTCAAAGACAGAAATGCTGCTAGTGGAAATCTGTATAATTATCGATGATGAATTTGCATTAACGGTGTTCTGATGGCTATTCTTTCGCCACCTATGAACACTTCAAAATCACAGCATTGACACGAAGTTCCAGATTATTCAGTTCAGTTTGTTGTTGTACTGGGTACTGGGTGCTGTCGCCTGATTTCAAATTAAAGCTAATCTTAATTGTTACCAAACCTCTTTGAAGCACTGTGCTCAGCTCGAGATATACAAATATATCGATAGGCAAAAAAGAATGCCAAACAAAAATGACGTGAAGAAATAGCCGTGTTACCTTTGTTATTTTTATGTTTAAAATGCGCAAATATAAAATGAAAAGTAAGCAAATTAAGCTCACGTTGTCAACAAAATGTAAAAAAAATGGCTGACTCTTACGTCCGATTTTTTGTTATTGATAATTTTGCTTGTCCAAAACTACAACTTTTAGAAATAGCGCGCGCTCTCACAATGAATGTTTTGAGCAGTGTTGGGACTTGCCGATAACTTTACTCCATTTTGTATTTGAATTTGAAGCTCTGAGCAGTGGTGGCTGCACGATAACTTTAATTTATTTTATCGAGCTGAGGCTTTGGCGATGTTTTTTGTTTTGTTTGCAAATAATCAAATCAATTAGCTGCGACTTCTTCATGAATTATGCGGATTTTGCTGCTGTTGCTGTTCCGATTGCGATTGCGGGTGCTGTGTTTGCGTCGTGCTTGATGGAAAACGATGTGGCGATAAATGAAGATCGTTGTCATTTAATTGACGTTGCTGCTGCTGCTGTTGTGTTGTAGGTTCGACTTTGATGGCGTTGCCACTGCTGCTACTGCTCGTGTTGTTGTTTGGTGTTGCAGTTGATGTGTTGGCGTTGCCACCATTTGTCGCCGCCACCGAGGCTGCCAGACGAAATGCAGCCTCTGTGTGGGAGCGCAAAATGGCCTCCGCCTGTTGGTGCATGCGCAGCGCTGTCTCCGGATGGTGATGTTGCTGTGTGGAACTGGAACTAGGTGCCACAGCGTGCTGAGAATAATTCGAGGCCTGATGATGCACCTGCTGATTCGAATGCGAATGCTGATGTTGATGATGCGAATGCTGATGCGGATGTTGATTTTGCTGCTGCTGTTGCTGGTGGTGATGATGATGATGATGCAGTGATTCCATTTGATGCATTGCACCCAGATTGGTTTCGAGGGTGCCACGCATCATGCTCATCATCACCGATGAGGTGTCTGTCTGCATTTGCAGGTTAGGAACATTGATCGTCGGCGATCGACGCGTGTTGCCAGCGCTGGGCAGTGTCTGCTGCGGCGACAGCAGCGGCAAATGGGGCAACTGCCCGGCATGATGTTGTCCCGTCTGCTGTGGATGCGTATGCTGATTTTGTGCAGTGTGTAGCGGGTGATCGTTGGACTATAAGAGTGGCGAGAGAGAGAGAGAGAGAGATGGTGAGGCAAGGTATGTTTGTAAAATATCACACTTAATGTTATCGATAAGTATCGAGGAGTTGCCATTTTGAAACTTTTGCTTAAAACTTGTTGATTAGTTGCTAATTACTGCATTTTGAATATTTTTCAGATAATTTACAAGTTGTCAAACGAATAATACGGAATGTATGAATCTGACTTTTAGCGCAGTCGTAGATCTTTGGTTCTAACGTGCCTTTGGGCTCATTCGATATCTCTCTGTGATATCCAGTCTAGCTAGCTAGCTATGTTAATTCAATCCCACAGGAGTGGGAGAAATTAAGAGGAAGAGCTTAAGTGGATCCACGGGGGATTACTCCTAACCCAACCCACGGCTTACCTGCTGTTGCTGATGTGAGTTGGCGGGATTGTTCATGCGCATGGCTGCAGCGAGGTTAACGACAGCCGCCTGAACCACGGCGCTGCCCGGTCCAGCAGCCACAGCGGCATCGATGGTGCCATCCTGCGACCTGGAGCTGGCGGAGGCGGCAACAGCAGCAGCCGCAGCAGATGCGGCAGCCATCAGAGACATTCGATTAGCATGCAGCTCGGCGTCCATGCTGTACTGGCTCAAATTGATTTTACTCGAACTGCAAATGCTATTATTATTATTATTATTATTATTATTATTATTATTATTATTATTATTATTATTATTATTATTATTATTATTAATATTATTATTATTATTATTATTATTATTATTATTATTATTATTATTATTATTGTTGTTGTTGTTATTGTTGTTGGTATTGTTAATATTGTTGTTGTTGTTCCTGTTCAACTGCTGATTGCTGCTGTTCTCGTTCTCACTCAGGCCCTGCTCCTGATCCGAGGTGGATGACGAGGAGAGGCGACCATTCGAGGAGCACTCGGAGTTCGCCGACGGCGATAGACACAACGAATTGGAATCGCCGGCGTTGACGCCACCCAGTGGCAACATACCCGCATTCTCGCGCACCACTCCCCCACCAGTAGTTGTGGCAGCCAGTGTGACGGCCAACAGGGATTCACGTTCACGTTGCTCCGCCGCAGCCCGAGACTGTAATGTGAATGTTAAGTATATAACCAGTATAAGGAAACAAATCTTTTATAAAATTTTTAAATATTCTCTATTTTATCGCATTGAATGTGTTGATTTAGGTATCTTTTTAGATCACAGAGCTTAATCTTGAGAAGGATATTTCTTCTGCTGATCGGAATTAAGCGTCATTTGACGATCCCTATATTACTAAAACTCTATATATATGTGGTCGTCCCATTAAAAGGTTAATCAGAATAAAATAGATTCGGGCTCTGCAATAGTAATAAATGTAGCTAACATTCTTATTTTACACTTAAAAACAAAGTAAAGTGACAATCGAGCTTAAAAACAGAATTTTAGAAAGTTACTATCTGCATAAATATAAATCTTACTAAAATGTTCTTATATTTTATATACTTATAATATTTATGAGTGTAAATCTACTACACACATATGTTATATTACTTATGGCTGTTTTTTTTTTTTTAATTAGGAATTTATGCTCAAAAGTTAATTCAAACTTTTGAAATTTCGAATTTAAACTAGTGCCACATACCAGAACATATTGTGCTGCAAACTGATGCTTGGGATCCATGCGCATATGATCCATATGAGTGAGCAGACCTAAAAAAAATCAAAATGTTAACAAACAATAAATTATAGATACAAAAAGAAGTTCGTCTAGAACTGACCATTTTCGTGGGTGAAGACCGCCTGACAGACGGAACAAGGCCACATGCGAAGACTGCTCGTTAGCTGGGTGGTTTCCGCATGGCTGGCGAGATGCTTGCGCAGGGAGCCCTCATTGACATAGTGCTTACCACAAACGGGGCAAGGATGATTCGCGGTGCGTCGCTTGCCGAGGTAGCTATCGTTCAGGCTCGATCCGCTTGTCGTCGTCGTCGTCGTCAAGGGCTGAGCACAGCTCAATTCGGCGGCGCATTGGGCGGCCAGGGAGCATGGACCAGCTCCTCCAACTCCGCTTCCTCCACCTCCACTACCAATAATATCACTGAATTGAGCAGCTGAAATGAGAGATGGGAAAAGGTGAACGATTTCAATTTTATTTCTTGAGCATCAATTAAAATCTATGACCAAAAGATTCTCTTCACTTTTATTATCTATATTTAATTCAGAAAATATTCTCCAAAATCAGCAAAGAAGTAGTAGAATCTGTGCAAATGGAATGCATATGTGTGGGTCCCATATATATTTCTTACTTTTTGAATTAAAATTAAAATATAAAATTTGATTTTGAATTAAATTGAATTTATATTGTTGTGTCAACTTACGCGGTTCATTTGGCGGTGGTGTTTTCTCTTTGTGGACGTGCTTCATGTGATCCATTAGGGCCTCGGTGCCGAGGAAGAGCTTGTGACACACCGGACATGAGGTTGCATTGGGTCCGCCTATAAGTGCCGCATGCTGCTGCAAGACACCAAGATGCAGCTGTAGCTCCTGAGAGTTGCAGTTGTCGTTGTGAGATGCCATTTATGAGATGCCATTTTGCAATTGGTGCGTGCAGAGAAAGTATAGATGAACAAGATGGTAGTGCACATTATATAAAATGGGAGAAGGTAGCACAGAAAAAAAAACAAATAATGGAACTCGAAGTTCACTTAAAGGTCGAGTTGACTTAAAGCTCGGAGTTGTGTCATGAAAGTAACCGACAAACATGTGAATATTTGTGTGAATTTGATGCCCCTGCTGGAGGGTGCCGGTACTCACCTTGGATGTGTGCGTACGCAGACTGGATTCGGTGGCGAATCCCTTGCCACAGATATTACAATGAAAAGGTCGATTCTTGGCTCGCTCCACCTGGGCATCGTGATTGCGCAGATGCTGCTGCAGATTCGACAGCTGAATGAAGGCTCGACCGCAGTCCGGCAAATGGCATTTATATGGTCGTTCGCCTGCAAAAAAATATATATCATATACCAAGCTTATTTTGATTAACCGATTTCCGTTCCTTTATAATTTACACTGAGATATTATTGATCAACTGATTGAATTTTATTTACATCAAAAAGGAAATATTTTTTCTCATGTGCCCAAGCCTGTCTATTCATACTTTATTATTTATTTAAGTGTCGCCTACTCGAGAGAAAAGGCCTGGACCATACCACCAGCAGATGGATACTCGCACTGCTACGGTCCAGGCAAGCCACGGCATCATTATATGATAGCACTGTAACAGTCCTAACCACCAAAGGCTGTCCCCAAGGAGGGGTGTTGTCTCCGCTACTCTGGAGTCTGTTAGTAGACGAACTACTAAACTTGCTAACAGTGGTATTCAATGTCAAGGATATGCCCATGACATTGTTATCATAGAGCGAGGCAAATTTGAAGAATCACTCTGTGACATAGTCCAGTCAGGGCTAAGGATAACGTATGACTGTTGTATGGAGGTTGGACTCAACCTAAACCCTACGAAAACAGTCATCGTCCCCTTTACAAGACGACATAAGTTCCAGAGGACGAGACAAATATGGCTCTCAGGGACCCTACTAGAAACGAGTAGGCAGGTCAAATACCTGGGAGTCACATTTGATAGCAGGCTTAACTTTGGCACCCATGTGCAACACACGATATTAAAGTGCTCCAGGGCGTTTTATACATGTCGTAGTATTGCCGGCCAATCATGGCCGTGGCCCATGTCAACCTATGGAGTGGTAGCAAGGGGTGACAGGGCGCGGTTGGTCACCGTGCAGAAGCAAGTAGAAAAGTTGCAAAGGATGGCCTGCGTATGTATGACAGGAGCTATGCGCACCTGCCCAACAATGGCTCTTGAAGCCTTAATGGAGCTCACACCACTCCACCATATCATAAGGCTCAAGCAGAAAGCCACGCTTCTAAGGATATCGGCAGAAGGAGTTGGGGGTAATCATATCCTAAGCCACAAAGATACCCAACTCCTTTCAAACGAACTGGCCCTGCTGATGCAACCTAGGGACGAAATGGTAGCTGAATACATATTCGAGCGAAATTTCACAGTTTGTATGAGTAGTAAAAAGGAAACCGCACACCATAAAATGGTACACCGACGGATCACTCACGAATCAGGGCACGGGCCTTGGAGTGGTGGGTCCTCGGGTATTCTACCATGAATCCCGGGGAACGCACACCAGCATATTTCAGGCTGACGTGTGTGCGATAGGGATATGTGCGGACTTCAATATAGAACGTAACTATCAAAATACGGATATATCCAACCTATCCGATAGTCAAGCAGCATTGAAAGCTATAATGGGGACTAAGATAACATCGAAGGTAGTCCAAGAAGTTTGTTCAAAGCTAGACCTACTCGGGACTCATAACAGGCTCACCCTACGATGGATCCCGGGCCACAGGAACATAGCGGGACACGAGGCGGCTGACAAGCAAGCAAGAATGGGGGCAGGAAGGCCCCTAAGAGGACCAGAACCGTATTGTGTCATAGGGAGACACACTATACGACTGGAACTTAGAAACGAGGAGAGGTAGAGACGGCATCAGAGCTGGTCGGAGGCAGTAGGACTCCGACAAGACAGATGTCTCCTAGGTGGTTATAATCTTGTACGATTTAAACAAATTATAACCATGGGAAAGAACAGCCTCAGGATACTCACCGGTCTATTGACAGGACACTGTAGACTAAGGAGTCACCTAGCAAAACTGGGTATATGTAGTAGCGATCTGTGCAGGTTTTGTGAAAGAGGGGAGGAATCCTCGATGCACATCCTGGTAGACTGTGTCGCCTTAACTAGAAGAAGAAGCAGCCTCCTAGGGGCGCATGTTTTGAAGTGCAAAGACATAGAAGACCTCAACCCAACAAGGATCCTCGTATTCGTGCGGGAGTTGGGGCTGATGGAAGGGCTATAAGCTCAGAAGGGAGCACAATAGATCAAATAGGTCGCGGTGCAGCTTTCCCCCCTAATAATAATAAGTGTCACCGACTGTGAAATACTTTGGGCGGGGATGGGCGTGGTTCAAAATTTGTTCCCGGATATTTGAAGGGTGTTACTAGCAATATAACTTTTAGATTTGGTGACTCTAGCTTTCAAATTGTGTAAGATATATGGTACTGTCGATTTACACTACCAGGTGTAGGGAGGTGGAGTGGGCGTGGCCATCCAATTTTTATCGATCTCTTAGGCAAGTTACCAGTAATTTATTTTTAAAATTTGTTGACTCTAGCTGACAAATTATGGAAGATATGCGCATTTAAGATTTCTAGGGCTGTCGTTTCTGGGGTCGGCTGGTGTGGGCGTGGTCTGAAAATTTATTTGCCTCTGCTTGGAGGAGGCTACCAGCAAATTACCTTTCAAGTTTGGTTACTCTGTCTTTAAAATTGTGGGAGATATGCAGGCTTATCGATTTAAACTTTCCGAAATATAGGCTTGGATTATGGACGCAGGGGTGGGCGTGGCCATAAAAATGTGTTATCGGTTCTTACCTAATTTGACAGCTTTAACTCAAAAGCTGCGGAAGATATTGCCATTTAAATTTTTTAGGGCGGAAACAAATTTACTAACTGTAGCCTTAACATTGTGGGAGATATGTGGCTTTATCAATTTGCGAATATCGATTTTATTGACTTCCGAGTCTCCTGGTGGACGTAGCACTCCAATTTTTATATATCTTCGGTTTCAAAGTATAATAAAAGTTTACAGAAGATGTTTAAGAAATAAACATTGAAAATAACATAAATGTAAAATCAAAGTTTCAAATAATATGATATAAAATGAAATGTGATTACCTGGTCTAAGAGCTTGTGTGATGGTTCGGATGGGCCTGAGCTGATTACGACAATCGTATCGACAAGGCGCCTGTTTTGCCGCCTTTAAAAGCATAGCCCCACACACACCCCAGCTCCGCACCACGACTACCTACCTCCATCCTATCGCCACATCTCATTTCGGCCCGATAAGGTGTCATTCGAACAGTGCCGAGAGTCAACCTATTCTAATTAGTCTTATCCGGGTAATGCGGATCTCTGCCCGGGTGGACAGTTACTGCTCTGCAACTCGTTAGTTGCAGTTACTTCTCTAACATGAAAAGTTCACAAAATTTAAAAGGACCGCAGGATCTCCCTGCGGAGAAAGTCGCAAGACATCCTCACATGTGGATGGCCATCCACATCGTGCTACTCCACCAACAAATAGGAGAGTGGCACTGTTACAGCAAGGCCGAGGTTAACAGGCCCCAGCCTCGAGGCAGGGAAGTGTAGTCGGACAATCCCGACCATCACGACCGGCGTCGAGTGCCAGCAAGTTGGACCGAGGAAGAAGTATGAGTCCCTGCCACCGAGGGGTCAATCTCTGTAGTATTTTAGATACTTCCAGCGAGGACTGGCTCCCGATGAGGCCCTCAAGAAGGCTAAGCAGCCGAGGGGACTGTTGCGATACCAGCTCCCAAAAGATCCAGCAACAATCTAACGCCACCGGTGGACACCTCTAAAAGGATGTACACGGCGACTAAAGGTGTTGCACGCGGTCCATCAAGTGACTGGTGTACGGAGGTTGACTCAACCTAAGCCCTACAAAAAAAGGCCGGCAAGTCATGTGGTACATCACCAAGTATAATGAGATGTCTATGGTGGATGTATGGTGGATAGGGCGCGGCTGATCACCGTGCAGAGACAGCTGCTAAAGTTGTAAAGAATGGCCAGCGTATGTATGACAGGAGCAATATGCATCTATTCGACAATAGCCTTGGAAGCCTTAACGAAGCTCACGGCACTCCGCCATATAATAATAAGGCTTCAACAGAAAGCTACGCTTCTAAGAATGTCTGCAGAAGGAGTTGGGGGCAATCACATCCTAAGCCATAGAGATGCCCAACTTCTATCAGATGAACTACAACTTCTTGTGCAACCATGAAATGTTAGCTGAATATGTATTCATATTCGAGCGAAATTTCACAGTTCAAATGAGTAGTAAATGGGAATTGTCGACTCTAGATGAAGTCCACCCTATGAAACCGCACACCATAAAATGGTACACCAATCAGAGCACAGGACTTGGAGTGGTGGACCCTCGGTTATCCTACCATGAATCCCTGGGGACGCACACCAGCATATTTCAAGCTGAGGTGTTTGCGACAGGGAGATGTGCGGAATCAACCTGAAACGTAACTATCGGAATACGGATATATCCATCCTATCCGATAGTCATAAAGTAATAAACGCTATAATGGGGACGAAGATAACATCAAAAGTTGTCCATGATGTACGTTCCACGCTTGACCTAATCCGGCTTACCCTTAGATGGGTCCCGGGCCATAGGGACATAGCGGGGAACGAGACGGCTGATGAGCAAGCGAGAATATGGGCAGAGAGGCCCTAACAGGGCCAAAACCGTTTTGTAGCATAGGAAGGCACACAATACTACTACAACTTAGAAACGAAGAAACACAGAGGGGACAACGGAGCTGGGCAGGGACACCAGGACTCCCACAAGCCAGATTTCTTTTGGGTGACTATAATCATAAATGATTTAAGCAAGTAATAACCATGGGGAATAACAGGCTTAGTATACTCACCGGTCTATTGGCAGGACCCTGTACACTGATAAATTACCTAACTAAACTAGGTACTTGTAGTAACGGACTATCCAGGTTTTGTGAAAACGAGGAAGAATCTTCAATGCCTTAACCAGGAAAATATGCAGCATCCTAGGGATGCATGTTTTGAGCTTCAAAGCCATAGTAGCCCTCAACCCTACAAAGATTCTAACATTTATGCAGGAGCTGGGATTGATGAATGTGCTATTGAATAATTAATTTTAAATTTTAAAGTTTAAAAAATGTTATAATAAAGGTTTTAAGAATACAAATTTGAAATAAAAATTATACATTATAACTTTTTCACATGTATTTCTGGTGTGCTGTGACAAATTATTTTTTGGTCTGATTATGTTTTATCTGGCTTTTC